GAGACTGTGGGCTAACAAGACGACAGGATCAGTCAAGTCTGCTCAAAGGGCAAGGGATCGGTACCCAGAGGGAGGGTTTACGCCAACTACGCCTCCAGGTGTGCCACCGAGAGGATAACAGTTTTGAACCCTGCCAGTTTTGGAAAGCTTGTCCGGGTTCTTTTTCCAGGACTGAAAACTCGTCGCCTTGGTGTTCGAGGAGAGTCAAAATATCATTACGTCAACTTTCAGCTTCGAGAAGACCAGCCCGATGTGCGAGATGTCTCGACTCAACCTCAGGTTTCCCCAGCGGAGGAGCAGTTATTCTCCCAAACTTTCAAGTGAGCAACGACACCTGGACTTGAACGCTTTTTATCCTTGCTAATTCTCCAGTAGCACGGCACCGGACAATACAAGAGCCACCGAACGCCCTGTACTTCCCACGCCTGACCTGGGCCAGCAACCGGAGACCCGGGTGAGGCGGCCACCAGAATATGTTCACAGCCTGTACAATCAAGTCCAGGTAGCCAACATCGACCAGCTGAGCACGACGGCAACCAAGACAGTACAGAAGCTTTGTTTTGCCGCGGAAACCGAGGAGTCGTTCCAGCAGTCCGACCCTCTCGTCCTGCCAGGGATCGAGCCATTTCTACCCAAAAATACCGATCCGGACGCTGCCAAGTCGCTGACTGCGCTCTACAGGTCACACTGTACGTCTTTGGTAGAATGCATCCGGTATTGTAAAGAAAAGACTTTCTTCCACCTTTATACCTCATTCCAGGGTACTCTCACAATGCCGGTCCAGAAGCTCTTCAGCAACCCGGCTGTTGCACCTTGGATAGAGGAGTGCGATTTTGTTCTCTACCAGCGCATGATGCGCATTGTCTCGAGCTTGGTCCTACAAGTGGTTCCCAAGACAGTGCTCGATACGTTGAGAAATATAGCAGACAAGCTCGTCCCACACATTCGCGATTCCTTTCAAGGACAGCCTCCTCACGTTCTCAAGGCCAAAGAAGCACCAGCAACTCTATTCGCAGGCTTACTGGATAGGGTGCTCCGTGTCAACCTTACTGCTCATGCTGCCGCCAACATGCTGTCAAACCCAGCAAACCGCGACCTCATGTACGTGGAATGGATCAACATAATCAACCTAAGAAAGGTTGCCGAAAGTGTTCCGTTGAGGGGCATGGATGATGTTGTGAATCTCCTTCTCAGAGAGATGCGTGGCCTCTTAGACCCGGTCAATATTCCATGGGAAATCGAAGGCCTGACGCTACACGGAGAGATGGCAATGCGCAATGGTCGGCAACCCCAGGTAGGAGCCCCTGAGGAATCCACGGCCTCGAACGTTTTGGATCGGTGGGTGAGCTTTCTTCGCTCCCTACCTTCGCACTTCCCCTACGCATCACATACCGATATTGTCTGGTGTGTTCAGCGACTGGGCACAGCCGTAATGAGGGATATTACCCTAGGCCAGGGCAAGAGTTTTGGCTCTTGGTGGGTCACCAAGTGTTTTATCGATGAGATGATTCTCTTTGTGGCAGAATACGGTGGATTTCTCAAGCAAAAGTCGACACACGAGTATACCCTCCTTGTCTCACAGCAACAGGGCGCAAGCAACGAGGCAAGCAACGAGGCATCCAGATATAGAAGTGGAAGCGATGATTCCAGCGCATCTCGAATGTCCGAGTCGCAGCCAGATCGGGCTCGATTTCCGATGCCTGCATCGACGGCTACCCAACCGTCTGTCCACGACGACAGCGGTATAGGTATTCGGACACCCGATGAAGATTCTCCGATTCAAAAGTTTGGCTTCCAAACAACTACTGCGAACTCGCAGGATATTTTTGCCGGCACGGAACTGCAGGATGAGGACCATTTGGCAGATATCTAAGTGCTCGGTTGGCGACACAACGGGATAGGCTTTTGGGTTTATGCTCGATGTTTTTTCTTATTAGGAAGGGGGGCTTTAGCTGGCGGTTATACCTTGATGAATCTCTTTTTCTTCTACTATTTACATGACGATATGAAGCAATGAGGACAGAGGCTAGGATGTGCTGGGTTGTGCGGATAAGGCGTCATTCGCCACATGTTCTTTTCGTCGGACATCTGGGTCTGGTTTTCTGGGTCGGGGAGTCATGGCTATACCTGGGAAAGAGGAGTGTTTCGTTTGGGACTGGGTGTTCCAACGTTCATGTTCATTGTTACAATGTAGGGATACAGGGGACACCAAAGCGTCGGTTTCATCAGCAAAGGATCTAAAAAGAGGAGGCGTTATGCAAGCATTTACGTGTGGAAGTGGCGGGACGGCGTCTATCCATGAAGATACTCGAAATGAGCATTGATTTTTTTCATTTAGTTCGCACAAAAACGTTTGGTCTGTATCTTGTGTGCTTGGTTGTATTTAGATGCGTTGGAATGAAGTCAATTCCTTTGATTCTCGGAGTTTCAGGGCACCGACCACTGAATCATGACGGCCTTTACATAAGGTAATGATTAAGCTGCTACGTTGGTTGTGGGTGGGCGGGCTTGGCAACTTCCACGTTTCCATGCTTTGGTAGCACGTGAAAGCGTTACGAAAAACACTGCCTGTTTGGGAAATGATCTTATATACGAAACCCCTCCGTTGTCAACAAGCAGATTCTCCTCCGCCTTTTATAATCTTGGAGTCTAACCGGACCATAACCCTCGTATCTCATCGTCCGAGTATACCGGCAACTCCAGCTCGTTTCTCTCCTGGCTGTCGCTCGGACAACCTAGTACTATCGACGACCGGAGTTTTATTCCCGATTCGAACCAATTCTGAAGGCGCTGAAGACCCGGCGAACCACATTTTACAGTAGAAGCGTACAGTATGGCAGTCGAAAAGGAAAGCACTCTCAAGGTCGAGGGTGCATCGTTGTATACTAAATCATGGGAGGTACGTATCACGCAGCTTTCAGGCTTGAGCCGCCTCAACTCTCACTTACACGACAAAACGCCACACAGCCCGAAGGGCCAATCAAAGCGAAGCTTATCTTCATCCACGGATTCAGCGACCATATCAACCGATACTACGGCTTCTTCCCGTCACTCGCAGCGTGCGGAATTGCCGTTTACGGGTTCGACCAACGCGGCTGGGGACGCAGCGTCAAGAAGCCAGCCGACAGGGGCCTGACCGGGCCAACGTCCAGGGTCATCGCCGACATGGTGGCCTTTATCGAGCCGCACCTGTCCGATGCCCCCGGGGCGCCGCCCGTCTTCATCATGGGCCACTCCATGGGCGGCGGCCAGGTTCTCACGCTTGCCTGCGACGAGCAGTACCAGGACCGCATCGTCAGCCGAGTGCGCGGCTGGCTGCTCGAGAGCCCCTTCATCGGGTTTGCACCCGAGCTGAAACCCGGTTTCATCAAGGTGTACGGCGGCCGATTCGCGAGCAAGATTTTTCCACATCGGCAGATGGTCAACCAGATACCGCCTGAAGACCTGTCACGCGACCCGGAGGTTCAGAAGAGCATCGCGGCGGATGAGCTGCTCCATAACACCGGGACCTTGGAAGGTTTGTCGGGAATGCTGGACCGCACGGATGGCTTGACGCGGGGAACGATCAGGCCGGTTGGAGGAGAGAATACTAAGATCAAGGCGATCTGGCTTGGCCATGGTTCGAGTGATAAGGCGACAGATTATAATGCCAGCAAGCGGTATTATGATCGTGTTATTGCGAGCACGGTGAAAGATAGAATGTTCAAGCGGTATGAGGGGTGGTTTCATCAGTTGCATGCTGATGGTCCATGTAGTGAGGAGTTCTACAAGGATGTTGGCGATTGGATCTTGGAGAGGGGCGAGGATCCAGATTCGGGGAAGTTTGAGGCCAAGATTTGAAATGGAGCTTGTAAGAGTATATATGACAAAGAAATATATGGACTGCTTGACTTTAGGCTCCTGGGGACTACATAGCATCAGGTTGGTCAGAATCATCTACTATATCTATCCTACAACTTGCGACGACAGATGGTCCATTTTGTGGTGTTGGAGAAGTGCTCTTGGCCCGCCGTTACAAGCACAACATCACTTCCACTTCTACATCCCGCCAGCCAGCTAACATCGGGATCGCCTCGGCTTGAAGATCTTGAAACAGGTCGTAACCCTTCCGATTAACCCCGAGTTTGAACTGGGCTTGCCATTCAGCTTGAGCATTAGCCATATAAGTATGTGTAGAGCCCATTTTGACTTTCCCCTTTGCCTCCCCTTTTGCGATCCTTTCGAATCCGACCTTGGCAGTTCGAGTTGCTGTCCACTCCGGTGTGGGTGGTGGCTTCTTGGTTACTGCCCTGAACCCTGATGATGTCCACCATAACCGACGTTATCAGTATCATCCAGTCAAGATGACGACCCTCTTTTCCAGACTCCAAGCCCATACTTACACACACAGATTTGCATCTGCGCTTTCCCATCAACTACGATGCTGATGGGATCTGGCATCTACCCTTCCAGCATGAGGGCAACGAGTCAACAGTGTCGAATTGACCAACCCGATACGGAAACACAAGGAAACACGATGACGGCGTACCAGCGCTCTGAACCCCCCGGGGCAGCCCCGTTGTCCAGGCAAACCGCATGCCGATGCCCCTCTGATATGGAAATGTCGCTCGCGTGCAGGGCAACGCGAGTGAACAATACGTACACAGGACTCAGGTACGGACAATGCAACGTGTGGAAACGAATGGTTCAGGAGAACTTAAGTGTCTTCGCTTCCGATCGCGCCTTGAGCGCCACCTAACAGAGCGATTCACTACCTTACTAATCTACCTCCCGTTGGTTGTTGTGATCAATCGACACAACCGGCTTTCTTTGTTTTCTTTTCCGGGAGGCCTCACCCAACCAACCTCTTATCGGTTAATTGTTGATCGGCCGGCGACTTTCCAATGGACTCAGTCCCCCAGGTAGGGCACCGCCTCCCCTGTAACCAACAAGAATTACTTACCTCTATTGGATCCATGCCGACAAAACTTCCCTTGAGAAATCAGCGCGACTTCCACGTCCGCGACTTGGCAAGCTCAACAAGAATTGTGGCCTCCTATCCACTTACGGGTATTGATTGACCGCCGTCTCATACGACCTTCGGAGGTTCAGCCCTTTATCCTAGAGATATATGTTACCCCATGCATCCTTTGCAATTCGTTGCCCTTCACTTGTAAATACCGCGCGTCCTACGTCCTCCCACCAACACCCCACGTACCAACCGAAACCTTTTTCGAGTTTAGTAGGCCGCGATCTGGTCGAGGCGGCACCTTAACCTTCACCATGGAGCCCGATCTTTCGCACAGCATTTCGCATCACCCGCACGCCTTCAGAACACAATCTCAGTCGGCAAGCTCGATATCGCTCCCGCATACACATTCCCATCATCGACACCCCCACCATCACCATAATCATCAGCATCAGATGGGCGGGTCTGAAGCAGCAGCCAGTAGTACCGGATGTGAAGCTACGGATGGAGACGACCACGGCGTAACCAGGCACCGCGACGTCGAAGTGGAGAGCCAGCGAACCGGTCGCCTCCCGCTCGTCAGCGCTGAGCACGATCCCTACGGGCTATCGCAGCGATACAAGACCCCCTCGGAGCTAGCAGCCATCAAGGCAAACACGTCTAGGAAGCGCGATGCCGCTCGGTCCGACTCCGATTCCGTGGGCGCTGCCAGCACGGGCATGGGTGGGGCTTTAGGGTCCGGGCCTGGCTCCAAGGGACACGGACACGGGTCAAAGTGGAGACCGCCCATGGGCCGCTCTGCTTTGCAAGCCCGCCGCGTCCGGGGTTTCTACGAGGCCCAGAACGAGACCATCGAGCGCATGCTCAAGAGCGTGGAAGAGCATGTCGCCGAGGCGCGCCAGGAGCAGGGAGATGATCACCTGAAGTTCCAGATTGCAGTCTGGGGCTCGCTGGTCGCCAACGTCATTCTGACGGTGCTCCAACTCTACGCAGCCATTTCTTCGGGCTCGCTTTCGCTCTTCACCACCATGGCGGACGCCATCTTCGACCCGCTCAGCAACGTGACTTTGATCCTGACCAACCGGGCCGTGAAACGGGTTGACCCTGCTCGTTTCCCTTCGGGCAAGGCCCGGCTCGAGACGGTTGGCAACATCACCTTCTGCTTTATCATGACGGCCGTCTCAGTCGTGCTCATTGCTTTCAGCGCGCAGGACCTGGCGAAGCACGACAAGGAGGCGGGTACCAAGGATTTTCATCTGCCCTCGGTTATCGCCGTGTGCGTCGCCTTCGCCACCAAGTTCTCGCTCTTTTTGTATACCTGGTCGCTGAAAGACAAGTACAGCCAGGTGCGCATCCTCTGGCAGGATCATCGCAACGACCTGCTCGTCAACGGCTTTGGTATCCTCACCTCGGTCGGCGGCGCCAAGCTGGTGTGGTGGCTCGACCCGGCAGGCGCCATTTTCTTGAGCGTGATTATCACGGCCATCTGGCTGCGCACCGCCTTCACCGAGTTCTTGTTGTTGGTGGGCGTTACGGCTAGCGTCGAGATCCAGCAACTGATTACCTATGTGTGCGTTACGCACTCGCCTTTGATCAAGCAGATCGATACGGTGAGGGCATACCACTCGGGCCCGAGGCTGATTGCGGAGGTCGATGTGGTCATGGACCCGGATGCAAGCCTAATGGAGACGCATGATGTCGCGGAGGAGTTACAGATAAAGCTGGAGAGCTTGCCGGATGTGGAGAGGGCGTATGTCCATGTTGATTACGAGACTACGCATAAGCCGGAGCATGCTTACAAAAAGGACTTGTAGGTGTTTGGTTTGTCTTGTGTATGAAGGTGAGCTTGGGCACAGCTGTTTCTTGTTTTAGCAATGAAGAGCGTGACGATGCTCACGTTGGGCTACTTTAACGATCATTGACATATGTTCTGAGATGTAATGGGTTATCATGTATTACTGCTTGTTTAAATACCATCTACTCGCCTCTGGTGCCTTCACAACTGCTGCCAAGTGTCCTTGAATAACCACAATGTGATCCGCCGTCATTCTTGTTCCCCTCTCCTCGCGAATCGTTGTTAATTGTTAGTGAAGAGCCATGGCTCGTCGGCCTGTTGGATGCCTTTGTTGCGAACTGAAATCGAAAGAGATGAAAACTGTGCTGCGAGTAAGATGGCTCAGCCATAACGACACGAGCTGTTTGCGAATAAAATGAAGACGACAGAATCTCATTCGTATTTCAGAAAGGCTGTCGTTGTAATTGGACATGCAGAGTGAGTTGGTCAATGTTCTAGAGCTTCTCCTCGTTCTGGATCAGGGGGAAAGCTTCGGGTTAGGCTATTCTTCCTCGTAAGGCTCGGATCTAATGCTACAAGTCCCAGCGGTGTCAATCAAATGTTGTCTGTAACCCACCACTGAGAAGCTCGTCGAGGGAAGAATCGGGCATGCGTAGATAGGACTGAGACCTGTTCCTACTTGGAAGGCAAGCTGTCTACATACCACAGTAAGTGTTTGTGGTCCCTTGAGTGCAACCCTATCGTATAAATTCGGGCCGTCCGTTTTAGGTTCCATGGAAATCAGACACAATCTGTAAGTATACTTACTGCCCGAATATGTGCATGTAAACCCGGGGAAAAGAGTGGGAAGACGTGTTGCTACCCCGGAACACTGTAGATTCGATCCTCCCTCTGCCCTATCTTTTCAAGGGCGCTGGAGGGTGTGGATGTTCAAATCACCATCTTGCATACGATTTCTGGAGAGCATGAATGTCGCAGTAAGTATGCTTATACCTAGACTGTATACACTACCTGGTTTCCAGGGAACCTAAAAACGGATAGCCTGAGTCTTTGCGGTACATTCTTATGCCAGCAAAAAGGAGTGGGGGAAGTGCCACCATCCCCCCGGAGTACCTACTGTACATTTGATTTCTGTGGAGCTCTCTCTTTTCCCACCATCTTTTTTTTTCTCTCTCACATAGGGCGCTGGAGAATGGAGACATTCAAAAGCATTGTTTTGCATAGAATTTCTAGCGGGCAAAGATGTTGTGGTACACTTCGAACTTACCTACAGACTATGCCTGTTTTCCCCAAGGAACCTAGAAACGGATGGCCCGAGTTTGTACAGTATTTGCCTTCGAAAGCAGAATTCTGCTCATTGGTTGCTTAAAGGGTTGACACTTGACAGGTCGTGCCCAATCATGACAGCTGCTGCGGGGAGAGCTAGGCAGGCACAACAAGAGCCCTGGCTAAGTGGTGCGGGGATGGATCAGATGTGAATTGATGCGGGGTATGTAGCTCATGTACGACACCGTAGGGCAAATTAAGTGTCAGCGATGGTCGACCTTATCGAGTGGAGGGCAAAACAGTAGAACTGTTATCGAGGTCCTGTCAATCTGTTTGACCCGTGTAACGACGAAGAGTGTATCTCACTGTATAATATATCACAAAAAAAGATGGTGAGTGGGCGGCATCAGGCAGGCTCGCAGCTTGACGGTTTTCGCCTCACTGGGCACTGGGCAAACTAGGCTATGAGTGGCAGTGGAAGGACGGAAGCGGTCTGAACCTGGCACTCCAAGATGCCGAAGGTGTTCATGGTGATGAAAAGTTATTTGATCAATAAGGGCGAAGACTTTTAATTTGTAGGACTATCCATGGGGTAATACTGCATAATGCAAGCCAATTCCCTTTCAGAGATGCTGGATGCAAACGCCATGTATCACCAGCAGCGAGACATTCACAACGGCTCTTGGCATCCAATTGTGTCGAACTGTGTTCTTCCTATCATCGAGGATGCCCAACCGCGGCCTGTCATGATTGTTCACGGAGGAGCTGACGACTGCCCATATCGAGATGGGAGGTCGTTGTGTTGCCCTTGATGCTTTGGGCCACAGGTCAACATGCATTGATGCCGTGAGGCTCAGGGTCCACAGCCTGTCGGAGCATCAGGAGCTCTCGCTGATAGATATGATATCGATGGGGAGTCATAGCCGAGCGGTCGTCTCTTTTGCCCAAAGGTTTACAGCCCGGGTCATCTTCATCGACATCGGCCGTTGTTCCATTCAACTGTCGCCAGAATAATGGGCCCGCTCTGAATGGAGCTCTCGCGCTGCGACTGGGACGCAATTGACAATGGCGTTGAAGCGACGGAGGGAATGCCATTGCGCTATCACAAGCCAGGGGGAGGAGAGGCGGAGGTGGTATCAAGGTTCTCGCCCGGGTGGTTGGAAGAAGAAAGAAAGGAAGAGGCCCAAGGAGAGACCCTTGCAGCAGTGACTCCAGTCATCTCTTCGTTCAGTTGCCGAAGAGTCCACTTCTCATCCTCAATCCCAATGCGCACCGTGATCGGGGCAGCCTAACCCGAGGGACTGGAGGCACCGAAAAGGGTCCGGGTCTGCGCAGCGTAGCTGGGCAAGCTACTTACCCCTCGCAGCAATGTTGCCCCGCCTGATGATGGCATTGAGTGCGCAATGCACTGTGTAGGTACGTACCTGCTTCAGTTTCTCGTCCCAGCGCTTCCCTTCCACTTCCCGCCTTTCCACCAGGCCAGCCAGACGAGATGGAGGTGGAATCCAAGCTCCCAGTCGTCAGATCATCATGCTTGGGGCTCTCTCGTCTGTGCCTTACTCCCACCTACCTCTTCGACCATCTCGGCCATCCCAGATTAACCTTGCAACTTCTTGACCTTGCCACACTGCAGCCTCCTCCGACTGACTGTCCACTGCTTGTACACTACCTAGTATTCTGATATCTTCCGTCCGTATCGATCACAGGCTTGTCGCCAAAGTTCATTTACTTATAAAACCGCCTGGCGTGCGCTCCACATTTGTGTGATTGCTCCGTCCTTCTCTTCTTCTCAAGCGTCAGCAAGTACCAAGCAAGCACCAAGCCGACTTTTGAATATTTGCTATCTTTCCTTTTTGGCCATTTTCCGCCCTCAAAGTCCAACGGCCGCAACTCGAATTTTGTGATTGTCAAGATGGCGATCACCAAAGGAGAGGATGTTTATGCTAGTGTAAGTCTACTCCTCTTTGTGATCCCATTCTTCTCTTCTTCCCCCCTCCCCCGCGCATTGTCTGTGTCATGAGGCTGGCGGTACTTGGTAGTTCTATGAATTGTTGCATTGTCCAATGGCAGTCTCTGCCTGCAGTACGCCTGCCGCAACCAGACTCAGACACTCTCCGCGAAGAATCGCAACAACTGACATGTCCCTTTCGAATAGCTTCTCTTGAATGACGCATACCTTCCCGGTGCTCTGGTTCTTGCGCACTCGCTGCGTGATTCCGGCACCCACAAGAAGCTCGCTATCTTGATCACCCCCGAAAATATCTCCAATGAGGTTGTGGAACAGCTTCAAGTAAGCCTGTCCACCACAGTCCGACTTCAATCTCCAAGCAAAACGCATGGCTAACTCCCGACAAGACCGTTTACGACTATGTCATTCCCGTCGAAACCATTCAAAATGACCGACCGGCTAACCTGTTCCTCATGAACCGCCCTGACCTGCACTCGGCCTTCACCAAGATCAACCTCTGGAAGCAGACCCAGTTCCGCAAAATCGTCTATATCGATGCCGACGTTGTTGCTTACAGAGCTCCCGATGAACTCTTCGACCTTCCTCACGCCTTCTCCGCCGCTCCCGATATCGGTTGGCCCGACCTATTCAACACTGGTGTCATGGTCTTGTCTCCCAACATGGGTGATTACTACGCCATGTTGGCTATGGCCGAGAGGGGAATTTCTTTCGACGGTGCCGACCAGGGCCTCTTGAACATGCATTTCAGGAACACCTATAACCGCCTCAGCTTCACCTACAATGTCACGCCCTCCGCCCACTACCAGTACATCCCGGCCTACAAGCACTTTCAATCGAGCATCAATTTGCTTCACTTCATTGGCTCAGAGAAACCGTGGGTTCAGGGTCGCACCCAGACCACCGGGAGCAGCACCTACGACGAGATGATCGGTAGATGGTGGGCTGTTTATGATCGCCACTACCGCGGCAACGTGAGTATCCGAACCGCTTCCCAGACGATCCATCTGTCAATCAACGATATACTGACTTGACTCACTAGTCGAACAAGACTACCGACGTTGTCCAGAAGTTCGTAAAGGGTGAGCAACAACAACAACAACAACAACAACAACAACAACAACAACAGCGCAACGTTTCTTTCCAACTCCCTCCCAGCCAGAGCCATAAGACGCAGAGCCACCAAACGCAGAGCCAGTATACCCATAGCACCTACACCAGTCACGGAGCATCCTGGGATGCTTCAAGACACTCTCCTCCGGCTGGCTCCAAGCCAGAAGCTGCCAACTTCCCACAGACGCACTATACGATGTCCTCCAACACTCAACAGTTCGTCCCACCTGCGCGGTATCCCAGTCCGCCCAAGGATATGTGGTACAAGGTGCCCGAGGCGGCGCCCACTCAAAAGCCCGCCCCAATCTTCCCCTGGGAGAAACAAGCACCCGAACCCACTAGGGTTTTCCCGGAACCACCTCCTGAGCAGGGAAAGCTCTCGGTTGCGTCAACTGCGACGCCGTCCGCTGCGGCGTCAGCTACAGCATCGCCCACCCTTGAGCCGAAGAGCGAGGCTGTCACCCCAACAACCCCCGCAAGTGCTAACGCCTGGACCTCTTTCACAACTAGAGGAAATGCGTGGGATGATGTACCCGAAATCAACCGCTATGTGGACGCTTTGCAGAAGCACCGCCGCTCCGGAAGCAAGGGCTCAGCAGCGGCCACGTCAAGACCGACCAGTCCTGGTCGCGCTCAGAGCAGATCTAGGAAGAGCTCTAGGGTGACTGACTTCCCGACTGAGGATGACCGTCCAAGTCTTCCTGTCACCCCCGCGCCCATCCAAGGACCGAGATCCTCGAGAGGTGAGAATGAGCGGCAGTTCCCTGCTGCCGCCGGCGTACCAGCGCAATCCGAATGGGTATGTATACATGCATGCATAAGAAGTTGCTAATATCCAGCAGCCTCTGACACCCTTGTGGTTTGGCTAACAGAAATGATGATTGCAGAATCCCGCAGTCCAGCTTGAGAAGCTGGCGATACACCAGCAAGAAACGTTGCAGAAGCTCGGTGAGCGTCCTGCTTTTGGTGGATTAGCAATTGGGACAGCGGGTAAAGAGATCCCGGCTCGCGCACTTCCCTTTGGGTCCGAAGATGCAAGATCGCCAACTTATGTTACCCAGTACCCGTCGGTGCTTAGTCCGAAGCCCTTGAGAGCGAACACAACCGGAACGAACTCGGTACGCAGAATCTTGACGATTGACGAAGAGGGAGGGGACGTGCCGCTGACGACTACCGAGAAAAAGACCCCGAGCCCGCTGCCGACGCAGCCAAGCGTGACCACCGCCCCACCGAGCTATCAGGGACCAGGTGTGGCTTTTGAGAAAGGGGAAGACTTCCCGACTCATGAGACGCCTGCGCTTCCGACGGAGGAGGAGAGAGATGTCCTTGAGACGTAGTCAACGACATCATCCTACAATCAGGTACAAACCACGCATCGTTGGCTTGACTGCTGATAATCGAAACTCAGTGTACAACTTCCATGGGGGTGTATTCTTACCGGTGTACAAAAGCTCAAAACTGGCGGATCTCAAAAGGACTTCTGTGATGGGGTGGTACTGGAACTGGAAAGGCGTGGCGATTCTCTTTTTAGTTGACACTGGCTGTGTGAAATGGGGGATCAACTTGAATGTGTGCATCGAAGGAAGGCTTCTGCTCGTCAATGCTGGACACAAAGGAACCCGGTGAATGAAGTTATGCTTGAAAGGGTTCAAAGTTTGGGAATAGCGACTTTCGGGCTTGGTTGCGGCATTCTGTTTCCTTATACCTCTCTGTTTTTATGCTCATGATCAAATGATAGACTTGTGCTTCCTTTTCAGCCCACTTTTAACAGGATCTATGTGTACTCATCAATGTCTTAGATTCCAACAAGTCCGACTAAGTCGATCCATGCTGTTCATTGCTGCCATGCTTGTGCGATATTCCTTCCCTCGGCGAACCCCACTGTTGTGCCTCAGCGTGGCTGGCTTGCTGGATATGAGTGGGGCGAACATCAGGGGTAAGTAAACAAACCAACTGTGATGCCAAGAATGAACGACCATACTTGTACTTCACCGTTGGCTTCAACCCCCTACAAACACCCAATGACTTCTGTTTCCCGTTTCAAGATCACTCGTCCTGCCTCCTAATTATTACCTTGCTTCCCTCAAAAAAAAAAAAAAAAACATTCTAGCTACCCAGCCGCACCACAAAGAGCCGACACTGCCTTACTGCACACTCCCATACCCTTGCTTGCACTGCTTGCCCAGCGCCGTGCTCCCACTGCGCATATAGCAGATTTTCGCTTTCGTGCATTCTTCCGTCTCACATTTCTTACTCTTGGCGCTACTCTTCCCCTGATACTGCGTAAACAGCTCAGCAAGCGTCCTGTTCCGCTCCATCGCCTCCGTCACCCCATGCCAGAACGTGGCATTAAGCGGTGCGTCGCTCGGCCAGTTGACCGCCGGCCCATAGGTAGCACGAGTTGAGTACTCTAGTTTGAAGACCGGTCCTTCTCCTTGTCCTCCGTCTCCTTCTCCGTCAACGGATGATGAAAGATTGGTATAACTCCCAACATCACTGTAGAACGTAAAGGCCTCCATAACCTCCCAACTGCCCGTGTCCACCTCATACATCCTATACCCGCTATTCAAGTTCTGCAACGGTGTCAAACTGGGACCGACCCAGCCCGTCACCAGCGCTTCTTCTTTAGTTTGCGCCGTGCCGTTGTTACGGTAGTATATTGTGGCCTGGTCTTCATGCGAGTGCCCAAAGAAAATATTCGCAATCACATGGGGCGAGTACCTTTCCACAATCTGGTAAAAGTAATCCGCACTATTTGGGAGAGCGCTCCCGCCGTCCCAGCCGGTAGGAATGTGCGCCACGATCCAAACGCGCTGGCCGGCGTCTTCGGCGGCTTGGAGTTCGGTGACCAGGAAAGAAAACATGCCGCTGTAGTCGGGGTTGGTGGCATTTAAAAGGGCGAACGGGTTGTGCTGGTAGTAGAGGTCGCTGTTGAGGGTGATTATTTTCAGGTTTGGGTGGTGGGGAGGGGAGACGGCGTAGGCGGCGTAGTGGGTAGAGGCTTGTTGGGCGACGGAAGAGGGGAGCCAATTGTAGTGCGCCCAGAGGGAGGAGACGTGGGCGTAGTTCCAGGAGAATTGAGAGCCTAGGGTGGAATTGTTGTCGATGGCGTGAGGGGCTTCGTAGTCGGCTGGGGTTGTGTCGTGGTTCTAGGTGGCATTGGGTGGTGAGTTTCATGCAGATTCAGTATACATAGAATGGACTTCAACGGTTACGAGTTGAACGTACCCCTAGAGCAGTATAGATAGGTCCGCCGATATAGGCCTTGAAAGCCTCCCAGATGGCAACTTCGGTGGCCTCGACGTAGGCGCGCGACGCCTGGTTCTCATCGTCGTGGGCGATCAAGTCTCCTGTGTAGAGTGAGAAGGCGGGTGGGTTCTTCGCGGAAGTGCCCGTCAAGGGACCAATGGATTGCAGAGCGGCCAGGGCGAGGTAGAAAGGGGAGTCGCATTTGTAGTAGCCAAAAAGAGGAGCCGATACGGAGATCTCGGGGACCGTACCGTTTGAGGGTGGTTCAGAGTATCTACAGCACATGTAGGATGTGCAGTTCGCTTCAGATCCGACGCTGTATCGAGGGTCTAAAGGTGGTTAGCATAATGGCCAACCTAAAAATGATTCAGCAGGCCGCCTCACCAAGATGTAGATCTGATAGGTGTAACACCTTGACCTTCTTCCCACTCCGACGAGGCTCAGCAGGCTTCTTAGGCTTGGGCTTGGGGAATACGGCCTTGACGGAAGTCACAGTGGGATACTCGCAGACATTCTTGTGAAGATACGAGCAGATGTACTTTCCATCAAGTCCCGCTACATCGGCCTTTGCGAGTATCTGTGCCCACGAAGCGCCGGAACCGTTGGGACCATATGTGAGTTCGCAACTGCTGTATGTGCTGAACTTGAGCGAGTGACATAGCGACACCATGCCGCTTGGAAAGTGAGTGGGAGCCAATCTTGCTACCATCTGGCCCACCGCCAGAGCGGCAATGCACTTGGAGCATGTATTCGATCCTCCGGTATTGTTGCTCTTGAAGATTCGCGAAACCTCAGAGACAGCTGCTGACGCGATAGCTTCCCCAGTGGCATCTGAGATATTGGCGATGGGCTGAGGAAAGATCACCGGGTCATCATTAGAATCCGGGACGTGCTTTGGGTCCGTAAGATTGAATGGGAAAGTGATATTCAGAACAGGATCGTATAAGACGGGTTGCGGCTGGTTTGTTGGACCTGGCTTGACTGAGACGCGGATATAAGAGTTAGAGAATGGCTTTTGGTCATCGGGATAAGGCATTCATCATGTCATTCTCACCATAGTAGCTTGAGAACACTGAAGTTGGGAAAGCGGCAGGAACAGTGAAAACAGTTACAGAGCCGGGATAAGTGACATCGTCTGGATGGTATGTGGAAGGTTGTTTGGGATGCGCAAAGGCCAGCGCAACGGCCATCGCCATCACAGCGCACCAGAGGAGACCCATCATGGTGGTTGACCGTGAGAACCAGAAAGCTGCTCGGAGCTCAGATCGAGAGAGACTGACCGAAGAGCTCTGAGTGTATTTATCTTGGGAAGTTGATACTCCACCGACTGGAAAGTGGCATCCACGTCTTTTATGTGACGGGAGGCTGGAGAAAATTTGTAGCTTTCATGGGCATTGAATGCAACAAAATCTACCTCCAACCGAAATAGGAAGTTCGTTTTCTCAAGTGTAGATCCACAGATTTCGACTTGGTTAGCATCGGGGTACTGAGGTGGTACCGGCTGTCCGGACCCCCCTCAGTCTGTGATAACGACCCCTGATCAGTGACGTAAGTGTACCTCGCTCCTTATCACTGCCGTGTGTGTTCCATGGGACAGCACGGTGCCCAAGAAGAAGCTGGGAAAGCTTACTGCCGACCAGCACGTTCAAAATTGGCAGTATCCAATTGGGCGTGAGTGTCGAATATAGTCCGCAAACCTTCGACCTCCGAGTGTCCAGCCTCCAGCACTGTGTTTGCCCAGAGTAGCTTCTTAGAGGCGGAACTTGAATCACAGTGGGTTAGCTCGACAAAGTAAGACAGGGTGGCATATAGGTGAAGCACGGCATTGAAAGACAGTCGCGATGTTGAACCTCCGAGCTCGTGTTCGCAAGTTAACATGAAGGGTATTTCTCGAGGACGACGCTGCTCTCGAATTACGTGGCTCATTGTGTTGATGCGCAGCACGATATGAAAGTCTCGAGTGAATATCGCCATGGACGATACCGCGTCCTCGTCACTTCCAGGCCGACACCAACCCACCAAAACCTTTGACTGACGTGAGAAGCATCCTCTGTCAGATACACACCGGTGACTGGCCTCGACGACTTTGCCCGACCGCTTGGGGAATTGGTACAAGGTACGCCCGAGTGCTTGATCAATTGCGACCATGTTGATGGGTCTTCCATGCGATGTCAAGGGAAATTCTGTTCAGCAAGGAGAATGGACAATAGATGGTCCTGCAAAGACCCAGCCTCTGCCGCGGTCATTCATCTGATCTCGGGGCTGCGAGACGTTTCGGATGGAAACAAAGTGGGCCTAGATATTGTCTCTGCCTTGAATAAGCGGTTGAATAGGCGTGATAGGATATGGATTAAGACAAGTGTCAGTGGAGGTTCAAATGTGAATTGCGAAGCCATACTCTTTTCCTCCTTTCTGTCTTTTGCTCTTCCAAACTCATCCAACTTTGGGATTGAACGTTCATAACAGAGCAGACGGAAATATCGACTCGAAACAACCATAAGTAGACAACAATGCCGAAGAGTTCGCGGGCTGAGAAGGCTCAGCAATCATCAAGGCAAGTGTCGAAGCTATTCGCACGAGGATGTTGTTGGGTGAGAGGGAGATCAACAATGGCTCAGAATTACAGTGGCTCGGTGGGCTTGTCGGTGCTGCACTGCCGGGCCCTGTAGCGAGCTACCCTGCTGCCCCTGATGGCGAAAGGCTGGCCAATTATGGTGCCTTCTGCGGTGGAGCTGCATTGTTAGCGGCCGCAATGGAACGAACAGTGGCTGACTTGTGTCTAAGCAGTGCGGCTACAGGAGGCCATGTCAGCCTTGCCGAACCACACCAGGACCAAAACAACAACGACGCTGTGGCAGCGCACGAAGCTTGGAGAAGAAAGCTCCATGAGAACGCGAGACGGGCCGTCGAACGAAGCGGATTGTTTTGTCCTAATTTGAAGCCTTCACAGCGCACCGCGAACATAAGCGCGCCGTCAGATCCGCCCTTGACACCTTTCAGGCGCAGCGGCCGTGTCCCTGTCCCCCAGAAGGACACCACCGACAAGGTCAAAACCGGGAGGGTCATGCCCAGAGGGCGCCGCGGAAAGCCAACCAAGGCCAAGAAGCCGAAGAAGGAAGCGTCGGAAACATTCTATTCAGTTCGGCGCATTGCTGGGGAGAAGACCGAAAACGGACGGCTGTTCTACCTGATCGACTGGGCCAACGACCCCGTCACTGGGAAGAGCTTCGATCCGACCTGGGTATGTTTTTGACTCCATATTATGTCCTTACATGCAATAAACTAATCACCAGTATGCTTACAGGAGCCAGCTGAATACGTGAACGAAGCTGCAATTGCTCACTGGGAGCTGATCAAGGACAAGGCGCCGCAAAGCGACGGCAACACCGAGCAAGAGAACGAAAGCCAGGACGAGGAAGACGAGGAGGACAAGTTGCCAGTTGTTCGCCGCCGCCAGAAGCGCAGACTCTCGTTGGATCGAGAGGAAGAGCAGCAGCCGCGGAAGCGAGCTCGAACCGCCGGCACGCAGGACGGCAACACGGGCGCCAATCCTCGCGTAAAGCCCGTCAAGATTGCTGTTGAGATTCCGTACGAACCCACCGTCGACCCGTCCGATTTCGTACCTGTCTTTGTTTCATCGCAAGGCAGTTCCCAGCCCGCCTCGCAGCATCAGGAACCTGCAGCGCCACAGGAGATCGGCCAACGGACGATTCCCGACTCACAAGACGTGGGTGATTCCTTGCCATCCCTGCAGGAAGCCCAGAAAGAGCCAGAACTTCTGCCCGACGACGAAGCTAGCGACTACCATTCAGCGGTGGAAGATCCGAACTCTGAAGACGCTGCTATTCCGTCTTCCTCCTTCGCGTCTGCCCAGGCTCAGTCGACGCAGTCTGGGGCCGAGGTTCCGTTCAGACAGATCGAAAGTCACTTGGCGATCGAACCCCAATCCATCATCTCCTTCGACAACCAGCAAACCGCAGCCGAGGAGGCCTCATCACAACAAGACCTCGAATCACACGGGAGCAGCTCCCCGCTCGGAAAGTTCTTGACGCAAGTCGATTTCGATTGGTCACTAGAAGAGGCCTCATCCAAGTCGGGAGTTGTCGTCTCAACTAGCCAAATCGTGAGCCAAAACTTTCATAACCGCAGCCAGGGCCCGGCGAACGACAAGCCTGACACCACAACTCCCACCCACGCTTCATCCCTTACTTCAAACAGCGCTCCTTTGCAATTCGCCCAGGTTCTGCTCTCTTCAAGCGGCATTTCACAGCAACTGCGCAGCCAAATCGAGTTCACCAGCTCGATCGAGAATTCTACGCAATCCGAACGGGCGGCCTACCACAGCCAGACCAATAGCGACACTGTTCCGGCCACCGTGCAGAAAGAGGTCAGTGGCACCAAAGAGTTGTCAGCATCACCATACATGATGCTGCGCACGCTCGACATAATCCAGCTCGCTAAGCAACCGCACTCTGACAGCACAGACAGAATCGACCCAGAAGACTTATCTCATAATTCGAATACCCCTGCCCCTTCTGCTACCTTGCCCACTGCGACCTCCTCAACACCCCTCACTCATATTCAAAACGAAGACTGCGAGACAGCTAACTTTAGCATGGACGACGCGTTCGCGGCGGAAACGCCCCAGCTCTCCGCAACGGAGACGCTGCAACGGTTGCGAGACCAGATCTACGGCAAGCAGTCAGATGAGCCATCCGCACTCTTAACCTCGCCAGCGCCGCATCCCGACCTCGACACCACCCAACCTGAGGAGCAGGAACAGCAGCCAACCATAATTTCACCAGCCAACGTTTTCCCTGCGCCTCACCCTGATCCGACGGATCCGTGGGAGATTGAGCCATCAGGTAATATTCTTCACAGCATCGATCCGAGTCCTGGGTTGCATCCGGGGTCCGTCATTTCCAACGGTGAGACCATTTCTGCTGTTGAGCAGCTTAGACGTAGTCTGGGACTCCCATTCACTCCCCACGCCCCACATACAGAGCTCGATATCTCTCCTGAGCCGGTAGAAACCCAAGAGCATGTGGCATCCAACGAGTTGCCTGCTACTATTGCTCCATCTGATTTAGATGCCTCAGCCGACCACGATGCACTACCGTCCCGTGAACACGTCGATTTCGAACGAAACAACGACGACATGTCTCAGATATCTCGGAATATGGACTCCCAGGAACCCGAGGAAGAATCGGAGTTGACCGAGTTCTTGGTCACCCTACCGATGGCGGCAAATTCGCGTCCCCAATACCTCGAAACGATCGACAAGAACACAGCTTCTATGCAGGAGTTTTGCCAGGCCTTTAGCGAATCTCATCCGGCGATGCCCAACGATTTTCTGACCGCAAAAATCGACTCCATTTTCCAGCGGCTGGCCGACCTCTGCGACTTGCCAGCCTACGCGGACACCATCCCGGCCATGACACCCACCGAGATGATGAAGCACGCGACGGGAACGAACACAAAATTTTCGTTCATCTATGAGTTTCTTCACCTAGCTCGTGATTTGAATCTCCGAGTTCTCATCCTTTGCCGACCTGGTAGGACATTTGATTACTTGGAAGCTGTGGTTTCTACACCTGGTTTCAACTACAATGTTCTTGGGCGTGACGAGTCAACCCCGTCTGATGAGGTTTCCGACGGTTTGTGGGTGGTTCTCTCTTCGCCAGACCAGGATTTGTCCGCCGTACGTGGACCTGTCGATGTGGCCATCAGGTTTGATCACGAGACAAGGTCAACCAGATTCCCGCCCGGCCTTGTTCCTGTTGTCTTGTCTCTCGTAGTCTCCTACAGTCTAGAGCATGTTGACCTACAACTCCAGCAGATGGAGCATGAGTTGAGCGATTTGGAGAAGAAAAACGCTCTTACCCTGGCGATTGCCACTCCAACGGCGAGAAGGCTGTTCGTAAACCCACCAGATGAAGGACATGAACCGCACAAGGCAGCCGAGCTTTTCGCCTGCTTTCTGCAGAACCCCGATCATGATCTATCATGGGAGCCACAAGTTCTCCCTGCGGATGTCTTTGATGACTGGTTGAGCTCGCAGAACCGTATGGAGTCGACTCAACATGTACTTCCTTCAAGAGATGCCACCGGCCGCAAGCGCCACTTGGTAAGTGTCAGAAACCGGAACGTGCCCACCATGGTTATCTTAGGATCAACTCACTAAACGAAGAAACAAACAAAAACAGGACGAAGTTGATGCTGGCACGCCCAAGAGAGTAAGGCTTTCTCAGACCCAGACTCCTCGAAACGGCACACCGTCTCAAATGACCGATTTGCTAAGAAGCACTCTGGAAAAATATCCCGGTAGACCGGCAACACAGTTCATGGAAGTTTCGGTAGAGCAGCTTGAAGCCCTGGCCTTCAAGATCTTCGAACTGGAGTCGGATCTCGAACGGGAAGCCAGTGACGAGAATCGAACTCGACTGCTAGCCAGGAACCTCGGCGTCGAACTGGCGTCTTACAAGCGCACGGTGGAAGTTCTACAACCCAAGTACACTGAAGCCCTGCACGACCGCAGCACCTTCGAGAAGACTTGTAAAAAGGCCGTCGACGAAAACGCTGCAGTACAGAAGCGGCTCGAAGCCAGCAAACACGACCTAGACACAGCCAAGGCAGAAATGAAAGTCTTGGAAACCAAAATTGCCGACGCCCAATCTCAACTTGCTAATTGCTCCAACCCACACCTAGCCCGTCTCGCCCGCGCCGAGCAGGAGCTAGAGGACACTAGAAGCAAGCTCGCCGCTCTCGAAAAGCGCATGGCCACCGCGACCAACGAGATGGAGTACAGCCGCTCCGCCTATCAAAACGCCTCCAACGCGCACACGGAGCTGAACAACGAGAACACGGCGCTGAAGCGCAAGATTGAAGAACTCCAGCGCAAAGCCGACGACAACGTCGTCCGCGTCAATGAGATCAACTCCGACCAGGAGAAGAAGTTCCTAGGCAAACAAAACGACGAGTACCGGGCCATGATTCGTGATCGTGAACGCGAGCTGGAAAACGCCCGCGCCGAGCTAAGACATCTCAAGAGCGGCCGCCGCGAGACCCGCCAGGCTAGTGTCCCGCGGAGTCCGCGCACGACGACGGGCATCATGAGTCCCAGGACGACGGTCAACCGTAGAGGTGCTGGCAACACGACGGATACGGCGGCAAGTAGTCGGGGTAATAGTCCTGCGCCCGGTAATGCTAGTGATGGAAACGGGAATGGTGGAGGAAATGGGGGCATAAACTTTAACCCCCGGTGGGGGCACCTCCGTGATTAGGGCAAGACGATTAGGAGTCAGAACCGAAACTGGGGGTCGGAGAGCGAGATCGTTGGGTGCTTGAGGGAAGGAAAGAATGGCTCGGCTGTCGGTTGATTACTGCAGCTGTTTTCCTGGTTCGTGACAAAGGACCGAGACAAGACAACGATTGAGATCGCTTCAGGTCAGCTTTCCTTATGTCCTTGACAACGGTGGAACGGTTGGTGAAACGGTTGTTTGCTTATTGCTTTGTTACCCATTGGCCTTTTTCTTCTTCTTCTTCTTTCTCTCCAGCCGGTAGGAGAATATCTTTTCACAATACCCATCTCCCTATCTTACCGCTCATTAGATCGATTGTTTTCATTTTCCTTTGTATGGTTCAAGGTAACCAGGTTGCATTTGAGGATCGAGGGATGCACATGAAAGAGGTTGAGGCATTCGGCGCATTGGGGTTACCTTTTTCTAGATACTCACTCTACCTGCTATGGATAAAGGCAATAAAATCCAGGTAGAACCAGGCATGAAAATCGTGAACCTGATCAATCTGAATGAAAAATGGTAACCAGCATCTAGCTTTTGTGAACCCTACGGTAAACTCATTACTGCCTTTCGAATACATCTATTTTGCTACTCTCTACGGTCATGGCATGAGATATTCATCGTCCAAACACAATCCGTGAGACAACCAACTGTCATCGTATCCAGCTCGACAAACAGGTTGAACTTGTTCGATTCCTCGCTCTAAGGCCCTCTTTGGATATACTACGCCCTTATTCCCAGCAATAGGAGTTCTCTAGGCAAAGAAACATGTATGGTACCAGGGAATTAGCGTATAGTGCTCTCTCCTATTCATAGGTCCCAAGCACACACGCTACGCTTTCCCCTTCCACGAACTCCCCCTCCTCTCACCTCAATACTCTCATTTCCCCTCTTCTCAACTTCCAAAGATTCTGGGACGGTAATTGATGGGTCGTTTGAATGGTGATTCTCATGGCATCTTCTAAATTACGTCGATCCTAAATTTAGTTGGCCTCCTCGGGGTAGAGGTCCTCCTTGAGGGTGATGCCGAGCTCCTCACGAAGAGGCTTGAGCTCAGCGAGGTACTGCTCGTACTGGCCCTTGTTCTCAACCTTGGCCTTGATGCCTGTTATGACGGAAGCCCGTTGTCAGCATGGTTCCGGTTCTTGAAAGACCGTTTTGCTGTTCCCTATCCACCCGAGCTTATCGGACACCTTGGTATTGACGCATAGGCTGGCCGTCGATGGCTGCGATGTGTGCGGGTTTCGGTGGCGGCAGTGATAAATGTTAGGACGGGGGTTCTTACCCTCGAAAACGCGGACAGCGGTGGGGAAGTCGTTGACGCGGCGGGCAGCCTTGAGAGCGGCGGCGAGAACGGAGGGGGAAGGGACGAGATCGTACGCGAAAGCGTTGTTCAGGTTGCGCTAATTTCGGTATGCCAGCGTCAGTCACACAGTCTCTTCCTTCCCTTGCCCCTACCCAACAAGTTGAATCATTGTTGTCCCTTGATCGATAATGTAAGAGGTGCGTCGTCGAGTAGGCCGTGAGAGTCGAAGTGGGACGGGAGCATGGGAGGTGTTGCATACCTGAAGCTCGAAAACATCCTGGACGGCATCAAACTCCTTCTCATAGCTGTTGGAAAAGGCGCAAGTTAGGAATTGGGGAGTTCACGAGGGCGCATGGAGGTGTTGATGGGGTGGCCCTGGCTGAGGCTGAGGGGGGAAAGAGTCGGAAGCATCACGTCATAGTGAAGCCGAGCTAGGACAGGCAGGTAGCTAGCTCGGGCCTGGGACTTCCGGGGCTCGGAGAGGTAGTAGCTTCCCGGCCGGGCTGCCGGGGCAAGACTCACCGGGCAGTGAACTCCTCGAAGGTCTCCTCGTGGTGCTCGGAGCGGAAGCGGCTGGAGGTGCTGAAAAGGCTGACGCGGGCGGCGACGGGCTGGGGGCGGGCGACGGCGCGGAAGAGGCCGGCGGAGGGGCCGCGGACGGCAGTGCGGAAGAAGGAGGCCATTGCGACGGAAGGACGGAGGGGGCTACTAGAAGATGAGAATTAAGAGCACACGGTAAGAAGCTGGAACTGCGAAGCGAGAAGACCAGGGGGGAAGAAAAGGCAAGGCGGTAATTGGCGGCGGAGATGGAGAAGCACGCACGTTACGTAGAGGGAGGTACGGTAGCTGAGATGATGGTCTCAATTGATGCTAACGAGGTTGAGGTTCGATGGTGTGCGACGTAAATGCTTGTTCAACCCAAGTGGAAGTCTCCGGTATTGCACTGCATCGGACCATTCGAATACTTCGGCTATGTCTTTTCCGGTTAGCTGACTAGCTGTGTTTTTTCCGCCCTCGAGGTACTCCTGGACAAGCCACTCGGTGGTCAGTGCACAAGCTCCTTAAGCTCACCTTTCCAATTCGTACATGAGCTTGGTATGCAATTGAACAGACAACAGCCCACTTTTCCGCACCAGTAGTGGCTGAAGTGGCTGAAACATTTCTTTAACTTCATAACGAGGCTGATGTCGAAGCAACAACGTGGGGTATACATAACGCCTTCCTGCAGCGATGATGCAACCAGTGCGTGTTGCTCGTGTCGGTCTTTCACACAATGAAGTGGTGTCCGCTGTTCACTTCAACTCATCGTCGTGTTGACCTTGATATCCCTCGCTCTTTTTCTTAGACAATTCCTAGGATTGGGAACCTTTGAACCGGCAGGCGCTGGAGATTTACGGATCTACATATCTATCATGGGAAGAAATTGACTGCCAACCGAATGTTTTGACCGGCACACGGTCCGTCATCTCAGCATTCACGGCTTGTACACTATGTGTGGGTGGATGAATAATGGGCCGGTCGAAAGCCAGTATGTAGTTCGGAGAGAGTAGAAAACGCGCCTTGAAGCATTGGTGGGTTGGGGTTGTTGAACAGGCGAGAGCCGCGAGACCTCAAAAAATGGACTTGATTGAATCATCATTGAACAAACCGAGTCTGTATACCCGCTGGTTAAATGTCTTATCGTAGCACTGGGCCACCCCAAATTGTGAGCCCAATCGCTGGAGGGCAAACCTTTTACCTTCTCTTATACACACCGTTGGTCCGGGCTCACCTGCGCGTATGAACGTCCTCGTATCAATTTCTCCACGATATCTCTTCTTGATAATCAAGTTGTGAACGTACTTCCCCAAACCTCGGCATGGACTCTACTCGTTTGATCAAGAGTTAGCCCGTTGCGGCCCGACAGTTGACGCCCCGCATGATGAACGAGGTATCCGATGTAGGGGGTTGTAGCTATCTGGTGGACCTTGAACGGCCTAGAAGAGTGTCCCCAAGTCTCGAGTCAATTATCGATCTCATCCGTGTTTCAACGGGCATGGTGATTTTTGGTAGGACTGACCCCTTTCGATGGAGCCCGCGTTGAGTCGCACCGGAACACTCACGAGATACGATTGATGAACCCCAATATGAGATAGCTGCACTGCAATCTCATCACGGGCTTCGCCGCGCCCCTCCACTGTCATCAATGTCATCAGTTAAGGTCATCGGTCATGAGTGGCAGCAGCTATTTCGATGTCTTGAGACCCATACCGGTGCCGTACAACTGGATAGTTCGGCACGGTAAGACGGAGAGTCTGGATGTGATTGGGTGGTCAGAGCTGCAATGGCAGATTGGGGGACTTCACATGCAGGAACTGGAAATGAAAAGCCAAGTGTCGTCGAGGCTACCTTAGGCGCGTCTGGGTGGCTACCCCTTTTCCACTTTGTTGACTATCGCCTGGAACGACTCGCAGTGAGTGCCAGGCACCACTACAGTGCCGTCCATGCGGCTGACTAGGTACCTTCTAGAGTGCCATGGCCCGGGGATGGAGACCCGTGCACACGGAAGTACCTGCTCACAGACACGGAAGGAAGGCCTGGGACGGGAGCCTTGCCTCACTCTCAGCTTCCCTGTCCTGTGGTGAAATGGGTGGCGGAAGTTCCAGGTGGTGATACTTGCTTTAACAAGACGTGATTTTTGACTGGTGCGAGCATGGATGATGGATGCGGCCGCCAGGAACTGTGTACACTTTAACATGGATTGGACTTGCGAAGGGCTGAGATTTGGCTGCCTTGCTGTTGGCCACGTTAGACCTTTTCAACTGAAGTCTACTAGTGTACATACTGCATCATGTCAACAAAGGTACCTACTTTTGGACTTCTTCCATCAAAATCTGAAGTCATTACAACCCACTTTGGGCCGTTCATTCACTCGCACCATCGGTAATTCTTCTGTGGACGTCCCTGATACCTGTCAATTCAAAGATTCCAAATCTGTGTATAACGCTCGTTTTCGGATGTAGTCTCGTCGGCATCGTGATCACTGCGACATTCAGAAGCTCACTGTCCGCCTTTCTGCAGAGGTACCACAAGTGGCCGTAACTACTGCGTGGCCGATTTCTTGGCGGCGGATTCTTGGGGGCCTAATCTCGACCAGTCTCCCCCGTGCCCGCCCGCGGATTCCGAGCCTCGAATACAAAAATCTTGCCGCCTTTGGTGCGTCGCCCGGACAAACACAAGTCCCTGAATTCCGTACGCGGAGCCCCCCCAACCCCCTTAACCCCGTCGCGCGACGCTCCTGCACCTCCTCCCGTCCCTATATTGACCTCTTTCCCCCAGCACCCGTCCAGCTCGGCTCTCGATTGTTGCACAACAACTTTGTCAACATCTCTCACTGCGCGCATTCAAGATGGCGACCGCAAGCCCCGTGTCGTTCCTCGACAGCCTTCCCCGGCCCACCCTCGACCGCCCGTTCGGCATCCATCTATGGCCCATCTTCAGCAAGGCCTTTGAGGCCGTTGTCGGCTACCCTGCCGAAGACTTCAGATTCGTCCCCGGCCAGACGCCCATGTCCACTCTCAAGGAGACCAGCATCTTCATCGTCATCTACTACACCATCATCTTCGGCGGTCGCGAGCTCATGCGCAACCGCGAGCCCTTCAAGCTGCGCACGCTTTTCCTGATCCACAACTTCTACCTGACCGCCATCAGCGCTATCCTCCTGGCTCTCTTCATTGAGCAGCTTCTCCCCATTGTCGTTCGCGGCGGCATCTTCCATGCCATCTGCCACATCGACGGCGGTTGGACTCAGCCCCTGGTTGTCCTCTACTACGTATGTTGTTGCGGCTCACCGCCTGATGGGCTTTTGGGATTGGCACTAACCTTGTGCAGTTGAACTACCTTACCAAGTACCTCGAGCTCCTGGACACCTGCTTCTTGTTCCTCAAGAAGAAGCCTCTCAGTATGTTACCGTTGAAGAAGAGAATGTCGCGCGCCGTACAACGATTTCTAACATTTTGCAGCTTTCCTCCACTGCTACCACCATGGCGCCACTGCTCTTCTCTGCTACACCCAGCTGATCGGCTCTACCTCCGTCTCCTGGGTTCCCATTACCCTTAATTTGACTGTTCACGTCGTCATGTACTGGTACTACTTCCAGAGCGCGCGTGGCATCCGCATCTGGTGGAAGGAGTGGATCACCCGTCTCCAGATCATTCAGTTCATCATTGACCTTGGTAAGCCTTTTTATCTCGTTCGCAACGATCTCGTCACCCACGCTAACTCTTTGCGCGTACAGGCTTTGTCTACTTCGCCTCTTACACCTATTTCACCTCGACCTACTTCCCGTGGATGCCCAATGCTGGCAAGTGCGCTGGCGAGGAGTTCGCTGCCTTCTCCGGCATTGGTATTCTCAGCTCTTACCTTGTCCTCTTCATCTCCTTCTACTTTGCCACCTACAAGAAGGACGGAAAGCGCCCCACTGGTCGCAAGTCTCTCCGCAGAATGTCCCAGGCCCCGTTGCCCGACCCTAAGGATATCGTCAGCGCCAAGGCTTCTGGCGCTCGCCCCAGTGGCGCCGCTACTGCCCGTTCTCGCAAGGCTTAAATCGTTGGCTAGATTGCGCAGTTACCGATCCCTCATGGATTGACTTTACCAGAACGCTGTAAAATGCATTCCTGGCTCCAGATTCGTCCACAGACGGCCATTGCTGGCTAAGGGTTTACCGCTCGTGGCGAATTTATGACGACGAGGATGCCGTGCCCATGAAGGTACAGGGCCCCAGATTACCTACCGGCGGACGCCTTCGGTACGATTCACCTCGACTAAAGATATTGTAATGATGACATCTCGATTCATTCACGGGAGTTATGAACGGGGGAACAAAAACAAGAGACGACATGGCTCGGAAAACTAATGTCGATGTATACTTGGGGCAACAGGCTGCAACCGATGGCAAGATATCGGCTTTGTGGCTGGCACGGGTTAGAGGAATGCGTTTATCTCATGACACTAATGGGCGGACAAAAAGATCATGTATGACTGGGTTTCTTTTTGGTTGGCAACTATTCTTTCCCCCCTTCTTTAGACGAGAGCAGCTTGGGTGGGGACCACTGGATATTCTCAACCGGCTCGCCAACTGGGTAGTTTGGGTTGCTCTTGGGCTTTGGGGGCGGGTGATGATGGATGGGCTTTGGAGAGTTCGACTCGACACGCGTATGGGTCGTCCGACTTCTTCCTCTACTTCTACTCTTTTCTTCCGCTGTCTTATACTTTTCTTCATCTTGTAATTCCTTTCCCCATGTATTATGCACGCGCGGACGGAGGAAGCAAGCCCATGGACGAGCCGGATCGACAGGCCCAGATAGAAACATGCGGAGCATACGGACCTCAAACCTACATAGCAAACATAATGTTATTGTTATTGTACAACAAAAGGCTTGCGTCTACGTTTCAGCATTGTTCGCAACAAACTGTCACTTGATGATTTTGCGGATCATTGTATGATATGGACGGGGACGTCGTGGCAGGTCGCGTCCTTGCGAGTCCTGTTGATTGTTTGGGACTGCTCCGTCCTCTATCCAGAAGCCGACCACCCCCTTTGGTTACGCAGCCGTATCAGGAGAAGACCGGAAGCTAGACTGCATTTCATCCCACAAAGAACATACCTTTCCATGTTGTATGGTGTTGCGTGGAAAATCACCTTGAGGCGACAGCGAAAAGCGAGATCCACTCGGTCAAATTCCCTTTATCGTCGCCCAACCCACCGAAGGCCGGAAGGTGGGGCCAGGTGTCGGAGCCGAGACGGGACGGCGCGCGAACGGAATTCTGACGCGAAAAGTGGGTCTGTAAACGGAGTTGAGCCGATCATTGAAGTGGGGCTGCCTTATGAGCCGACCCCCAAAACTTTCAAGTTAGTGGACCCCCCCCCCCTTTCGGGTAAAACAGGCGGCTAACGGCCCTGCCCAGGTAGGTACTAGGCTTAGCAATCAAATGCAATGTGATGGAAAAGAACATCTTCTTTCGGTTTGGGTATTGATGTCATGGATCTGGTCGACGAGTCTGATCAATCCAGTGGCTAGTACCATAGACCTGATAGATTCCCGATATACTTCAAGTCGGACTTCTGGTGACCACGTACCGCGGAAGGAAAGTATCAGAGACAAACGGAGTTTCCTTGAGAAGGTTCTGAAGCTCGGGAAAGGAGCCAGTAATCCTCGGGATACCTCTCTCAAAAAAAAAAAAAAAAAAAAAAAAAAAAAAAAAAAAAAAAAAAAAAAAAGCAAAAGCTGGTCGATATGGACGGCTACCGTATTTATGTAAATCTATCTAGTGCTCCTGGAGTTTAAGATTTGTCACACTTACTCCCGCCTGCAGTGGCAGGAGTGGTAACTATTTACTTACTTAAGTCTCATACCTCTGGAAGCAAGTGAAGAAGCTGGACGCTCATGTTGCAATAAACCTCAGTAACGGATATGTGGAATTGGAAATTGGGGGTAAGTGCTTTGGCGTAGGTGAAGCTCCAAAAGCATCAAGGCCTGGGCCGCCGGGTGACCTGTTGCCATTTTGATGTAGATGGTGTATGGATCAGCCTCACTGCTCAATCCTTTCAAAGCTCATTGTCATTGTCAACTTTGTTTTTCTCCAGAAAAAGCACCTAATCTCTGATTCCAAGCAGATTCCTGGTCGTTGTATCCTTGTGGCCGTGCACTCTACGACACCTATGCAATAACTTCAAATTGAGGAGAGGAGAGAAAAGGTGAAGCATCTCCGTTGTGACTTTTGGTGTTCACGTTCATGATAAAATTTCGATATACATTCTTCCGTGCAGGGCACACACATAGAGCAGTGCATCGGCCATCTAGTAGCGACTAAGTGCGTAACATGTTGCCTTCGATCTCGTTATGCCATGTTCAGAACAATGACAGTCAGCTTCACTTCTCGTCTTCCAGCAAGCAACGCAGTATCAAACAATTGCCCGATCATTATTGAAACAACAGAAATGGCGTAAGGCTGGGATAGCACAAACGTGAGCGGGACATAATGTATAAGATGAATTCGGTCAAGTCGTCCATGGAGAGTGCCTGACATGTTTCTCTGGGGCTAATATGGCTATCTATGTGGATCCTTAAGGACCACGGTTCGCGCAAGTGCACCTTGAAGCAGAGGTCGCTTTCAGAGGTTCAGAGGCATAGTGGCCGATATATCGGTTGTAGAACCTGCTGCTGAAAATGCCAGTATGTGTATTCATTCATATCAGTGTTCTGGTTTGCCAAAAGCCAGATAGATGATACTGACGAGCCACATACGGTACTGCAAGTTGGACCGTATGAACATGGATACCAGTATCATATGTCTGGGACCGCCTTAGACATCTCTGCGTGCCGGTTTGGCTGATTCCTCGCGGAATAATCAGTCCTCAATCTCGACAAAACGTCCTTGTGCAGCGTCGAACCGCAACCCACGGGGCTTCAACGGCTCGACATGGGCCTTAGCTGGATCAAGCCCGCACAAGGCCAAAATGACCTTGACCGAGGGGTCCTCAGTGTTGATATCGCCCACCCAGCCAATTCTACCCTTCTCTCCCACGGGACCGTAGGCCACCGCAGCTTGCTGGCGCACCCGCTCCGGATCCCAACCTTCAGGACTCCTAGTAAGTCTTGCGGCGATGTTCAGGTTTGGATCCTCCTGAGTGGCGTCGGGAACATACCACCTGTGCTCGCTCTTCACACCCGACAGGCACAGCGACTTGACGCTGTAGGCAGCCTTAAGACCATTCTTGTCGCCAATGTCAAAGTGCGTAGCGTCGCGGATGCCGTCGGCCTGTTCGTTCATCACGACGATGTTGCGCTGGTACATGCCGGCCTTCCACTCGGGAAGGCCCGAGACGCGGAAAAACTCGTCGAGGTCATCGGGGATGACAAAACACGCCACTTGACCGGTGAGTACAGCGGTGGCGCCTGTGCGGCGCAGGTAAGAGAGGACGTGCTCCCAGAGAGGAAGGTTTTCGGGAAGCGTGAGCGCGGCGTCAGTTAGGACGATGGCGGAGTACGGCTCAGAACTCTCGTTGGTGAGGAGACGGGTGAGGGTGGCGGCCTTCTTGACGCGCTGAACAGTAGCCAGCTCGGTCATGGGGGTTAAGAACCGGTTGACAGATTCGTCATAGCACTCCTGATATTCGAGAGAGACGACGAGGATGCGGGGCTTTAGGGCCGCTTCGGCGTCCAGGTCGACGATGACGGGCATGGTTGGAGCTGAGTTTTCCGCAGGTCAAGGAGATCGAGAAGAGAGAGGATCTCGTTGTTGCCCTCAAATACTGAATCCTCTGCAAGTCGGTAAATGTTTTGGGCGGCGTATGAGACGCTGTACAGGCGAGGCACTGAGTATGGGCCAATGTGTCAATGTCGGATAAGAGTCAGCTATTGAGTGGAAAGGCGGCGACAAAAAGAAGGGTAACGATTCTGTAGTGGTTGGTAATGGAAGAGCAAAAACGAAACCGCGGCAACTTATAAGTTACCTAAGTAGGAAGCGAGTGCCGGTGAATGGGAATCCCAGTGAATGGGCGGCCAGACACGGATCTCAACATCTCAACAGCTTCCATCTGATGCTAAACAATGGATGGTTTGCGCTCAGCCGAGAGGGATTTGGTACGGCAACTCATGAGAATAATTCACCTTTCAAACGGGGGAAGCCGGCGTGCTTGTAGACGCTTCTTGTTTGGGACGGAAGGTACAACAGATTCGTGACGTACGGAGATGTTCTGCGGTGGAAGGTCCATGTGATTGGGGTTGATGCAACTACGAGTTACTAAGATTATGCCTGCAATTGGCCCGCACTGGCCCAAGCTCTTGCTCTTGCAAATAGTATTGAGCCTCTGGAAAGTCATTGTATTCGTTGGATGAATCCGTTCTGATATCGCTCTATGTCTTGCTGGCGCATCAAGATTATCATCCATCTAATGAATGGTCAGTATACCTGCAGGCTGGAGTTTGTTGTCGGTGGTGATCTGGGGATGAATGGCGCAGAGCGGTGCATTTAGTATGTAACTGCGGATGGCACATAAGATGCACAAACTGTGGGGTCCAGTTACACAATGAGCCGGCAGCTGTCAACCCACGCAGACCGGAATCAAGGGGGAGGTATACATAAGACAATGAGAAGCCCAAAGAATTGGCAATGTGCCTCGTTGAATTGAAAGATAAACGCCAGTCATGCCAGCCAAACGGATCGAGGGACTGGTTTATACTTCCTTTACACGATTCCTCGGTCCACCCCACTCCTCGTCTGGCTTGTACATGGCGATAGCTTCCTTCCTCACGGTAAGTGGTTCCCTCTAAGCTTAAGATGGCCTACTTTTGTTGTATATCAGTAGGTGTCTTCCTGCTTGCCGACCTCGAGATGCGGGTGTCGCGGGCCGTACAGCCAGGCACACCTCGGTTCTGACACGATGTGCCAACCAAGATATACTTTCCCCTTAGCTCATTGACATGTACTTGATCGGTGTACAGGCAGGCGCCTTTATGTCGAACCCATGAATGGACCATCTCTTCAAGGGCGAGCATGTAGACATCAAGAACACCCAGCACATATCTCAGCGCAAGTGACATCCAAAACTTCTCTTTTTTTTTTGGGTCAATCGATTGTCATGATCTTTTGCGTTGGGGTTTTGGGGAATGCCTCATACAAAACTCCACGCTAACGAATCACATCACAATTGGATTCGTGTACAGGATCCGAGATTGGCGAAAAGGATTTAGGACCGGGAACGCAGCGTTTATCGAAAGTTGCATCGGCCCCGCATTTGACTGCATTCCCTTATTTCCCCCATTTGATCCGTCGTCAGTAACTTCTTCTGGAGACCGAAGAGACACTTCGGCGAATCCGACCTGATCAGGTAAAGTGAAGTCCATGTTGAGTGTCTGAGTGACGATAGCTTTTTTATTTCATGCTCGGACCTCCTTCAAGCTTCAGCCTTCAACCCATCCGTTAGTCCACGCAGTTCACAGTCTCCGTCTCCGTTTTCCGAATCCCCTCTCATCCTCTGAGGTCCCATAATTACACCTAGCCCATCCGACGCACGGACGACCCACCCATGGCTGGGTTCCCATGCGTTACCATGGGTTCCCATGGTCTCCTTGCATCCCATGAAAATAGACATCGGTGTTGTTATGGTCGTCCGATTCCGGTTCGGTTCCATCCCCGTACGGTTTACGATCTCTCCAATCTCATTTTAAAATCTGCCTCCAGATTCTCTGATTCTGACGAACCAAGAAAACGGAGATGGCCACGGGGGACGGGGGACCTTGAGAGCTGGTGGAGTTGGTATGCGGAACATGTCGGAGACTGTACCATGGACTTACCTTATCAAGGCGTCAAAACGATGAAACGATGAAACAAATTTCCTGAATCGCGTTTGAGAGATAACGGAGGGCGGATATTCATCACCTCGTGTTGCGAAATCGGACGTCTTGGAATTTTGAGGTGATTCGGCTTCGATGATGTTCGTGCATTTCATCAGCCTTTGCTGACCTGCAAGTCATTCTTCCCCTGATTCGACCTTGTAAGAGTTACAGCTACTAGTTAGCTGTACCTGCATTCAGTTCATGCACTGTCAAAAAAGTTTGAAATTTTTCCGACGTGTGCTGCAATGAAAGCTGGACAGGGGAACGGGAAGTGAAGCCAAGAGCCCAAGACGTCTCATTGAGGCCGGTCTTCGCCAGCGATTGCCCCTACGGAACCATTATCTCCGCATAATCCCTACTTCAAAGAAACATTGGCAGGGTATGCATCCAGGGCTGCCGGTTATAGTAGCATGGCTCGCCAGGAACCCGGTGTGGCATGAAGAAAACACATATAAAAACATACGAAGAACAGAGGCATGAAGAAAATGGGTGACATTCAATGGCAGGCCGGCATGACCGATTTCGAGGTGCTGGTTCGGTGGGGATCTGCTTCTTGATTCCACTGAATCTTTCAAAAAGCAAATACAATGTTACGTTCATCATAGCAAGCCACGATAGCGACGGGAGTGTGATTCTGTATGTTGATTTGGCAAACAATGCCTGTCTTTCAATTTTGTAGAAGCCATCCATACAGTGAATGGAAATAGTGCGTAGTAGCGGAGATATTGTGCCTGTGAAGGAACGAAGAAACCAGAACAGCGCCCTGTGGTATCATAACATTCGTCTAGAAAAAGAAACAACAACAAAAAAAAAAAAAAAAAAAAAAAAAGCGAACGAAAAAAAACACAGAGCAACCGAGGATGACGTTGCGTAAAGACCTCCCATGACCCGAGAACTCCATTCAATATGTATGAAATAAACGAAAAAAAAAAAAAAGAAGATAATCGCCGGCCTGCTGTGCTTGAATATGCTTTTGCGCAGGCATGACAGATGTCGAATTCCTCTCTCTCTGCTCCGCCATGTGATCCGAAAATCTGTGTGTGTTGTGTGTCCAAGTCATTCCCGTCTGCGTCTCTTTTCCATTTTAGGTCTCCCAACTCAACCTCTTTCTTGTTGTATGCGATACTGCGGACTGTGCCCGCTCCCCAAGCTTTAAAACGCCATGCTTACAATATGCCGTAAAAAAAAAAATCAGTGTCTGGTTCGGTTTGGTACATGCTGCGTGTCGCGTCGCTTTATGCAATGTTGATCCGTCCCGTCAGCTTGATGCTCTTGCGCCTTGCCGCAAACCCGCTGAGGAGTCCTCTCCTTGGGACGCTGGTAGGAGAAAGAGGAGAGACGGGCGAAGCATCCTCTGGCAGTGATGGAGGCTGGGGCGATGAGGATGGCCCAGATGGCGTGGACATTCTGAAGTTCTTCCTTGACGACTTATCAGAGGTAGCGGGTGACCCCGGTACAACAAGCTGCTCCGGGGCTTCCTCAGGGAGAGGCGTGGTGACAGAGAGCGGCATCATGCTGCTGCGGGATGGTGGCGGCTTCATAGAGTGTCTTGAAGGAGGCGGTGTGGTGCGCTCTGATAGTGGCTGGGGGCTCGCCAGCGCCGGACGGCTCCTCTTCCTGACGAGGCTGAAGGTCCTCGTAACTCCCTTCAACAGAGTCATGGTTGGTGTCCTGGGAGATCTCGCCGGGCTCGTCACGTCCTCTGCAGTATCGGCTCTGGGAACATCCAGCGAGATGGAGCTGCCGTTTGCGAACGGGTCAACGTTGAGAAAGTGAGGCTTCCTCATGGGCATCATATCGATGGGAAGACTACTCTTCCTTTCGGGAAGCGCAAAAGCTGACATGGGGCTGGCTGGTGTGACTGTCCGCTCGATGGGGATATTGCAGGACACTGTGCTTGACCGCTTCCTCATGTGGCCTCCCCCTAGGCTCGGCGCTGCGGAACCCCTCCTGAGGGTGGCGAGGTCGACGATCGAGGGCCTGCCAGAAAAGATGACCGAAACAACACGGGCAGTGTCTTCACGGCTACTTCGTCGGGAGGTCGTTGTGGCGGTAGAGGCTTCCTTCTCGTTGCTGGACTCGTAGACATAGTCGGATAGGCTGTCGGTGTCCGAGGAAGCTTCCTCCTCGGAAGAGAGATAGACGTCGCCAAGTGGAGACGGCTTTTCCAACTCGGCAGTCTCAACCGTCCCACTCATCTTGAGCTGAGCCAAGCTGTCAAGCAACCTTGAAGCCCTCAGAGCACTCTTCTGAGGCAATGCCGGGACAGTTTCCTCCCCCCCTGCTGCTCTACCCTCTTGGCATCCACCACTTCGGGAAATTCGCCGTACATTGTGCTGTCGCAAGATGGATTGCGGGTGTAGACCTGGGCGGCTGTGATATCGGATGTCTGTGTCTCTGATATGGGTCTTGTAATACTTGGTGTGCTCTCCCTGGTCGGGAGGGATTGGGTATCTGTCGACATGATGTGGCTGGAGATGGGATTCTGGATGAAGAGAGCAATGTAGTAAATGTTGAAGCCCTGGGGAAGGGCAGGCGCAGGTAAATATTAGAAGACCAAAGGCTATTTTGTGTGCTGCTCTGGCTTGGCGTCGTACTATTCTGATGGAGGAAATGGAGAGGAGCAACGAGGAACGGCAGAGGGATCCACGACGGTGGGCAGATGTTATTTTAATGAGACCCAGTTCTGCATGGGGTCATTACGCTTGTCACGACCTGGTCAGGACCTGACGGGGGGGTGTGCTGGGGATGGTACTGAGGTACAGGCGCAGGCCAGACGAGACGAGACAAGTCAACCTGGCATGCCACCGTCCTCTGTCCTCCGTCGCACAACGTGGAAGCCGTGCCAGCCGTGGTAGCCGTAACGTCCGGACGGTGGCATGGTGTGGTTGTCTGGTGGGTGGTCGCAGCACATTTCAGATTAACGGTGCGCATATCAACCACAAAAACGGTCAGAGAGAAGACAGGAGGTTGGCTTTTGATGCTGCACCTAAACCTACCTGCATACAGCAGCATACCTACAGTCAACAGATCGCCTAGCGTCACCGCATGTCTTCGATCGCATGCATCCCAATGCATGACACACTGGACTGGACAGAGTGACGGGTTCTTGACTTCTTGTCCATCACACACACACCATCTTCCTAGTTTCTTGTGGTTGTATCGCACACCCATCTCCATTCTCGCCTTTTCCCCTGAGGCCGGCGTCGCAATAGGAATGAGCTCCAATGAAGGGGGGCTGCAAGGATGACTGAGATCAGAGGCAGTCCAGTCAGGAAAAAAAAAAAAAAAAAAAAAAAAAAAAAAAAAAAAAAACTACCGTTCTGAGCTTCCCGAAATCTCTCTGAACGCCCATCCATTCCTTCCCATCACCACCATTTTCCCAGCGAGTGCCGTACAAGCACCAACCTCGCAATCCTCCTCCATAAGCTTATCGACGGCCGGGCACTGTAGGGGAGGCGGAGAGGGGCACGGTCAACCATGCATTTCAAGTTTAATGAGGACCCCGAGGACAATCGGACACGACGATGATGGAATCGACAGAATGATGGGAATCAAGGAAGCGCAATTTGCACGTGGGTGATCAGAACAGTGATAAAGACTCGCGTTTCAAGTTAGTCGGACTGTCGAGTCCACTTTCCCATCCGAATGCTCACCTCTGGACGTGGAACCCTTGCCTTGCAATGCCTTGTCTCTCTTTCTTACTTCGAAGCTTCGGGTTGAGCAGTCTCCGCTCATGTTTTTACGCCATCTTTTAGCGCTGCAAAAATGCGCAGACTTTCACAGCAATTCACACACCACCACACTCCCCCCTCATCGACCAGGGATTGGGGTTCTGCGCTTCACGAGCTTTTGATCTATTTGACGGTCAGCTGGATGGATACAAAGGGAAGACGTGCTGGTCAATCATCTGCAGACTCACCGTCGTGACCAAGATTCGCGAGAAGAAGCCGACAGATCCTGGAATTTCGACATCTGTATCACACTACATATCAAATGAATGCCCCCCCCCCCCCCACAAAGCCAAGTCGTCGATTGCAGAAACGGCACCAACACCATAGTACGGAACCAAAACGGCGCGTCTGGTTCTCATCTCAAGCCTCATAGCCGTGGCTTCGGGTCCCTTCACACCTTGGCTGCCACAACGGGTAAAAGACGAACAGGCCCGAGGACACGAGTGGAGAGGGCCAACCAGGGGCCCGAAACCCCTTCGACCAGGGCCTTATTGGTAAGATTGGACGCCATGGGGTCTCAGACTGGGAATGCCAAGGTGTCTGTGATTGGATTTTCCATCTCGACATCGTCGGCAGCATTGAACTGTCCGTTTGATTGGAGCATTTGTTCTCGCCAGTGCTGCTGCTCACTCACATGCTGTGCAGTGTAGCAGTTTTGGCAGTGTGGGAGGCCATCCTCGACATCGTCTGGTTCTTCCAAGCTTCGAGTCGGACGATGCTGCCGGTGATGTTGTTTTTAAACTCTTGGTATGGTTAAAGTCATTGGCCAAGGAAAGTCATGACAGAAGGTGTTCTTACTGTCCGATACATGTAACACCCGAGCGTTATTCGAGACTGGAGCATGTATGGCATTCCGAAACCCAGAATGCCAAAACTGATACGTCGATTCAGCATTTCCTGATACTGTCTCAACTGTGTTGTCGCCTACCGCAAAAGCTGCCTTGACCGGTTGATTGCAGCAGGCGCCATCGGACTCAGCATTCCATCATGCCTCAAGTTACCGATATGAAGCTTTCCTTGGGCTCTCGACATTGTAAGTCTCTCAACCGAGTATCGGGTGGTCGAATGCTTTGCCATGCATCATCCGTCTGTCGCGACAACCGCCAGTGGCGCCTTCCTTCTAGTCCAATCATCGTTCACAGGGGCTCATCCTATTGATTTTAACATTGAAAAAGAGATATCGATATCTCAAAAGACCTCCACCAGCTCTACCCTCCTATCCCAATGTGACCATCTCAACTTTCTCTCGGCCTTGTTCATGCATTTCCTGCTATGCCCATCATGTTGATATCCCGCAAATGACCAGCTATTGTGTGATCACCGTGGAGCATCGAATTGCTAAGGAGTTTTACTGATGGCGATTACCGCCAACAAGATCCTCCTCATCTCAACCGACCTTCTTCCCCAGTCCGCCCAAAAGGAGAGTGGCTCATGTGGCTCAAATGGCTCAGGCGGCCCAATTTACAAAGCTACCAACAACAGGCACCGAAGGATTGAAATCCCAAGGTATGTTGTCTGAGCCATGAGCCTTGGGCGGCGTTCTTGCTCATCTCCCCACGTCATATCGAGAAAAGGCGGTCATGAATTCGAATAAAAGATATTTATTCACGTCTCTCAATCTGGGTGGCCGCTGTACAACCCGAGATGTGATTACAGTTATCGTCAGCTAGGAACGTTCCCATCGGCGAACGGTGACACTTGGACCGGTATGCAAACCGGAGGGGACAGGGGAAATCTGGGGGACGGGTTATTGCTGAATCTGACAGTGCCTGTGCATGGTGTTACCTGGAATGGAGCTTGTCCTTCAATTAGCATCAGCTCGACATCCTCCAACTTTGCATCGTTTTAAAGGCCGCTATCTCCATCTTGCAATGTCGATCGAATGGATAACTCCCGACGATGACAATGTGCCCCTGCTGCCAACCCCCCGGCCCCCCGCTATTATACACTGCCAGGCAGGGGGATCTCCGCATCGGTAGGTCCTTCTGAAGAAGCAACAATATCTTTTTAGGATTCCCCGCTCATGAACATGGACGTTTCAGCAGGACAATGACGGTGTGTTTTAGATGGGCAATCTTTTTTTTCTCTCTCTCTCTCTCTCTTTTTTTTTTTTTTTTTTTTTTTTTTTTTTTTTTTTTTTTTTTTTTTTTTTTTTGGTTGTTGTGATGAATTCAGGGGACACCGAGCCGGAATCCTCAGTCTCCCAAGGCAGCGACCAATGCTTGTCCAGGTACTACTACCCCTGGGTTGCCATGAGGAAGTCGTGGACGTTGGTTTGATACACTTCCGGCTCCGGCGCGAATCTGCGACACACAAAACACCAGGCAAGGTAGATAGCACCTGGTTCCCGAGAGCCTGTACACTCCACTAGTACCTATCGCCACAGCACTTGTGAGGTTGTACAGGTTATGCGGGCGGACGGGTTACACCAAGGAGTCGTCCTCCGGGCATCTGCGACATCTCCAATGGCATCGAAGCCGGTTCCTTCTGGCCAGTCATCTTTCAAGGTGCTTCGCTAGTTACACACATGGTACCGTGGAAATCAGCTCAGCATCGTCGTATGGGCACTGAAACCTACCTACGTAGCTAACGTATACATGAAAGATGTGAACTAATCGTGGCGTTTGCTGGAACATCATCGTCACAATGGCGTTATCATACCGCCAGCCATCTTGGAGGCTGGATTGCATCAAATGCTACTTGCCCTTACGGTACTTACCAAAATGTAAATCGAGGTGTCTTGTTTTGAGGCATGACCAGCATGCACTCGCAGAGGGGTCTGTAACTCCTTGGAGAATAGAAAAAAGATCATCTAAATCGAAGCCAATGTATATCATTTCGTCTCAATGCTCGCTTTGACGCAGTATGGAGTCATTGAGGGAGCAATGTCACCCTCACCACATTATCCTGTCACCGAAGTTCACGGCCGAGTGGCTGGGGAAACTGGCTGGTGAGCATCATGTGCAGGCAGTCGTGGACTCTTCTTGGTGGCGCACGCGGAAATGGCACTTGGAAGTCTTCCGAGCCTAGATATCGGAATCCTGTTCGAAAGCACAAGGAACGATCTTGGTTGGAATCCCCCGCAAATCTGCTTATACACTACAGTTTGATACTGGTGTTATTGTTAGCGAGTGACTTCTTCCGACTTGGAACAGAGGAAGGATGTGCGATCTAGACTATATGATTGGTTCAACTTGTCCAAGAAAACCAGGGTAAAGAGAGAGAGTATTTATAGACAATACCCAAAAGGGAAACGCCTCCAGCACTTTTCCAGGGCTTGCATCGCCAAAGTCCACCGAACCGAACGTGAGAGGGGAAAAGTGTCAAGCGAAGTACCGCGCCAACAAACGAATTAGGGTCGGAGGGTGCCTGCCACACATCCCCGCCGTACCCTCGCCTCCCCCCCTTTCCCCGGACCGCTCCGACAGCCCCGGCTCCCGACCCGCACTCTGGCCGGTTCGTCCGGGACAGTGAGTTGCCGGGATTCTTTGACTGTGTTTTTGTGGGGTCGTTCCGGCGAGGATGAGTTGGAGGTACATAGTTTCAACTTCACTTTGTTGACGGTCAAATATCAGCCACAGAAGAAGACTATGATTATGTACCCGATCAGAGTGAACCCAATTCCCACTGTTCCGCAAACCCTGTGTCGCGCAGTACTAGTACCCTTTCCTAGATCAAGCGAGTTGGGCCTTGGCTGTGCTACGAACGTACGAACTGTACAACCGTTTTACTCTCTCTTCTCTCATCATACTTGGCTTACGCATAGCGGGCATGGCGGGCATGGTTCTAGACCAGGGAACTTTTCGCGAACGACCGGCCAGGCGAGACGAGGAGAGGCGAGCGAGCATGGTGCGGGCCGCGTCAGCTAGGCGGTTGAGATACCCGGACCCAGACCCAGCCAGACCTAACGCCTAAATCAGGGCCAGATTGGAAACCTACCGCCAGGACGGTCAAGGCAGGGTTTGATTTTCTCTTTCTGAGGTCACCGCTTTTGCGACTGTGATGCGATGGCGAGGGTCGTAAGGCGGATCTATTTAGGAATTCCTGGAATCTAGGCTGGGCTGGGGAACCAGGTACAAGCCAAGAAAGTGGAAGCTTTCTCCAAATAACGGTGAGGTGACGGTAGAGGCGGTGTGTGTGAACCTGGACTACTACTACTACTCTACACTGCACCCACTCCTTCTTGGGACACCGCTTTGGTGTCTCGAAGTGAAAAGTTTTCATTTCTCACCGTTTTGATTGTTAGTTCCGTTTTCTTGTTTACTAGGTGGTCTCACTAGTGAATAAAAAAACTTTTTAGTTGTTTGGACGTTTAAAGGGCTGCTGGGCATGGTTTGTGTCAACGTTGTCCAACCTCATCCTGCATCAAGAGAAGTCTCCAATTGCGGGAAATAGTCCTTCTCGCATCTGTGAGACACCGGCGTGGTGTTGCGTCATGAACTTTAGAGTTTGGGCGTTACCACCGAACTTGAGACACTAACTAAACCAGCCGGGCTCAGTGCTTCTCCAAGTGTGACGTTACTCAATTTAAAGTTAAAGGCAGGGGAGTGAAACCTGCCGACTGGAGTTTTCTAGAAGGAGGGAACCTGATACATAGACATTGATTGCGAAATATCCAAGGCTGGAACTGGGTTCGTCAACGGTTGAAGAAAATATAAAAAAATAAAAAGATCGAAAAAAAATAAACGGTGACTCGAACCTCCGAAGGGGAGAGAGGGGGGGGGGGGGGGGGGAGGAAGCTTTCCATGAAGAACAGTGGATGGAGATAGCGAACGTAACGACGAGTGCTGCTGCATGTCGATGGCGCGGTGATACATTCTAACGTAACTCACACACATTCCAAAGACGTATAGAACATTACATGGCTCAACAAGCTAAGGGAATGTAAAAAGTCAGACATCCAAAATCGCTTCATATGCCGTTAGTAGAGATGTTCAATGTTGATAAGTCCTTTGATTAGAGCTTAGGAAACCAAACTTGATTCTTTATGAGACAGTAAGGACGGAGCCTTGCGTAACAAAGCATCTTGGGAGATAAAGCATTTTGTCATGTTCGGCTTATTCTCACCAAGACTCGTCAATGTTAGACACTACGACTTAATTGCGGATGCTTGTTACTATGTGGCGTAATTCGGGGTACTGAGCACCGAGAGAGAAGCCGGTTATTACCTGTACTCGAAGAAATCAGAAACTGCCTGGTTGATGGTTCCGATTTGGCCACCCGATAGGCGAGGCCGACGGGATCAATTAGGAGGCCATCACGATGTTCAACTCTGACCGTATTGTCGTAGTTACTGCTGGTCATAGGAACTAAGACCGGAAAAGGTTTAAGATGCTATGTATTCTCTTGAAATCAGGGCTGACTTGTCATTTACGACGTAGCCGTATTGCCCAACTTATAGAGGTATTTATTTTCGAGGTTGATCAGAGGCTTGAACTCTGAGGTAGAGGTGTTGTGGTAACATGGTTTTATCGAAACACTATCTATTACCCAAGTCTTAAGTTGTCACTCCAGAACAGCCACCTTGTTGACAACCAAAGGACAAGGCAACAATGCCTATAGTATCTTTGAACGTACGAACCAGAAAGGCAGCTACTTCAAGCCAGGTTAAATATAACATGTCTTGAATATTCCGTTTCACTCAGCTAAAACGCCCTGGCTGCCTGGCAAGTTCAATCTCAATCACCCACGGAAACCGCCTTCTCCCTTCATCCACCGGCTCTACAGCAGCATTGACAAATAATGTATGTTTCCTCGGCTCGAGTTTCAGCGTATCTCCCTCACAATGCGAGACCTTGCAACACTTCTCCTCCCTCAACCGCTTTAGCTTGGCCCTCTTTCTTTCCAAAACCTCAGGACCATCCCACTTCCCCATCCTCAACCCCGCCAGCGTCTCAATCACAACAGAGTTTTCGTTGTCAATATCCGTCACATGCGACGGCATTTTCCCGCTTTCCTAAGCCGGTCTATCTCGCCATCTAACAAACTTGGCTCCCCATCCCGCGGGTACATGTCCAAAACAATGTAGTCTCGGTCTGGCCATTGCTACGGCCGCGAAGAGGAAAGGACATCCAGCACGGAGTTTGGGATCGGAGGCGGTGACATCAAGAACTCCCAGGGGTGGACCGTGGGTGATGACCACATCTGCAGTATATCCAATATCAAACACGTGTCCCTGGCTCTTTGTGTATCGGAAACCCCAGTTCTCATTTCCTTGTCCCTGGTGGTCGTCGGAAGAGGCACGTGTATAAGGCGAAGCATAGACAGATAAAGATGCTCCATTGCCTAAAGCGAAGTGATGTCGCCCCTCATCCAGAAAGAAAATCCCGTCCTTCTTTGCCTGTTCGGAGCACAAAAGCTGCCGAGCTTGCCCCATTTTGCCGTAAATTCTGTATATCTCCTCCTTCTCCTTCACCCCTAGATTGGTGGCGGTTTCCGTAATCTTGGTCTCGTACACGGCATCGTCTAGAGTGAAGTCGTGGCTACCGGGGATGACCAGCTTGAGCGGCCCGTTGATGGCTTTGAAAAAAGCTAGTACGCTGGCGAACTCAGAAAGCTTGGATTCCTGGGTTAGGTTGCCGCAGTGGATGATTACGTCGACTGGCATGGTGGAGAGGGAGGAAGGGAGGCTAGGCGAGGCGTGAGTGTCAGAGATGATGAGGAATCGAGCTTTGATGTTGGACATGGTGAGGATGGGTGGCATTATATGAAGCTTGTGGACAAGTTGGTACTTAGCCGGGCTCGTTGGTTCGAGGGGGTGTAGGCAGCATGTTGTTAATGAAAGCTTAGGCTGGAGAAGATATGGAGGAGTGTGCAGCTGGTTTATCTGAAGGTAAGAGGATAACATCTAGAGTGTTCCTGCTGGATGGATGCATTCAAAAACAAATGAAGAGACACAGAACCTGCGTTGGCGATTACCTGGCGAGCAAGTGCAAGAGGAGCTATTTACCCCCCACCAGACTTACCTGGTCAATTTCGAGTGAGGCCTCTGCTGATACTGAGAATGTAACTAGGACAGGCAGGACATAATATACTTGGAGGAAGGGGTGAGAGGAATTATTTACTACTGTACAGTTTCGAGATATCACAGTACAACATTAAAGGACAGTTGCAACCTGTTTTTTGTTTATCACCCCATCTTAACGTTCCCGCTAACACTCCGCCCACCGTTCCCATATTACCCCCCTTTGTCAGACAGCTGAGCATGTCATTCACATTCACGCTAAACAGTCAGGGCAGACAAACAAACCCGCAGGAACCACCATGTGCCAGCTCACAGGCGACAGTCCGGAAAATACCCATCTTCGAAATCAACCACCTAATATTTCGGCTTCAGATCAGACTACCGCCACAAATCCTGCTTCTCCTTCTTCTTCTCCCCGGAACTGCTCTTGGGCCTAGGCCACAACTCCTCATCCCCACCAGAACCACCGCCAAATCCAGTCCCCCTATCTACACTCCCTCCCCGAGTGCTTCTGCCAGGATCTTCAGCCGGCAAGGCCAAGAAACCACCGCCAGCCCCGGCACCACCGATCAGCACGCTCCTCCTCGCACCAGCGCCGCTGCCCCTCCGCCCATAGCCGCTCTGTGGGCTTTCATTCGCGCCAGGGGACGTTGCCGGCCCACCGCCGACCTTTACAAAGGACCAGGTGGTTTCGTCGTCGCCTTTGGTGAACACCTCGAGCTTGGCAGGGAGATTTGCAGGTGGGGCTACCAAGTTGGCAAAGGGGTTGTTACTGCTGAAGCGATGGTTGGGAGGCGGTTGTTTGCCGGCTGCCGGCTGCAGGAAACCCGTGAAGCTGTTAACCGAAGATACGGACCCAAATTGACGATGGCCGGGCACGAAGGGAGCGGTGGGAGGAGCAAAGCCTGATAAGCTGCCTTGGTGTGAATGAAAGCTACCACCAGCAGCAGGTCCAAACCCAGAGCCGGGTTGTGAAAAGTTCATGGGCCCACTGTTGGGGGAGAAACCACGATTCGAGCCGCTACTGGAAGGGCGTCCCATACTGGCTCCAACAAAGCCGGGGGAAGGTGTGGGAAGACCGAGTAACATGTCGGGGAAGTTCGGGTCTCGCACATAGAGTGCCTGTAGGTTTGGTAGTCCGCCTGTCAGTAAGGAAGTTGCCAGAAAGCTGTAATAGCTCGAGGTAATGCCAGAGTATTTGGGAGTCGACGAGGCCGCGGTGATCTCGTAGTGTAAGGTCTGGAGACTTGTCGAGTTAAGAGTCTGTGCAAAGTATTGACCGTTGGCGGACGGCACGGCTTGGGCGACACTGTCCATCACGGAAAGGTGCTTAAGCTTTGGAGCATACGGCAAGAACTCTTGCAAGGCCCAAGGGAATACGCCTGTACTGTTCAGGGTAAGCTCTCGCAGTGCGCTCTGCGCGTTCGGGTCCATTAACCAGCCCCTCAAGCCTTCTGTGGTGACATTGGGAACGTTGGTAAGGATAAGCTCTTCAAGTGGGGGAAAAGGAGGCAACATGTCGTTCCACGCCAAAGTCTCGTCGGTGACGCAGGTTGTGTCGTTGATCTTCAGGACGCGCAAGCTCTTTAAGCAACCAAGCACCTGGCGTAGGATTGCCGGGTCGACTTCCACGCGTACCAGCTCCAATACCTCCAGGTGAGGCCACACTTTTCCGGTGGCCAGCATCTGCAGACTATGCTCCGCACCTGCCATATATATCATCTTTCGTAGGTGAAGGCATCGCGCCTGTACTTCGAGCCGAAGGGTCACGAAGGCGGGATCATCTGCAAACAGGCCTTCGGGCAAATCGACATACTTGAGGTTTGGCGTTACAGCGATCGTCCGCGCCAGATCGGCCCTGCAGGATTCTCGCAGCATATAAGGCGTCTTGAAGAATTCCACGATCCTTCCTAGCCGCACGGGATCCTCGCGGAGAGTGCGGCATAGCAATTTGAGGCGCGCCTGCGCCGTATCCTCGGGTTCTCCATTGCGATCAAATCGGGCTTTGCGCTTGCGGGCTTCGGCTAAGTCTGCCTCGCGGTCGCAATAATGCACCTGGTCGATGCGGATGCTGTAGTATCTGTGAAGTAGTAACCACGTCAGTATTCCTCCATGGCGACGGACGGTAACAGGGAAACGGGGCTTGATCCCCATCCGAAAGGGTCTAAACATACAGAAGATTGACGCCCTCTCTCCTCCACCTCTTGCACACGGCGACACAATGCGCCAGATCGCGCAAGTCGCACAGCATGCAAGCATCTTCGGTCGAGCTGGCTTCACAAGTCTCGTAGCTCGTATCCCTGCTATGGGGGCATACAAAAGTGAATATGCGTTCGAGAATCGGGGCTGGGAGGTTCGCGAGAATGGTGGCAGACTCCCGCGTCACCATATGGCGATACTGAGAACCCCACGGACCATTTGAATCGTTCCGGGCGTGGCCGTAGGAGGGGTAAGGGTTTCGGGAGTCGTCATCGAAGCCGGCGCCCAAGACTTGTCTGTTGGGGCTGTAACCGAAGCCCGGCAGGGCGGCTGCTATGGCCGAACCACCGACGCTGGCCTTCCGCTTGTCTTTATTACGCCTGAAGAACTTCATGTTGTTGCGCCCCCGTGATACAGTCTGAGATTCCGAGCGAATGAGGCAGAGAAAGTAAGAAGAAACAAAGGGAGAATTGAGACGCGAGCGCCAGAAGAGTGGTGGCTTGTTGTGGTTGAAGAATGCTTCGAAATCCTCGGCAGACTCGTTGCGTGGGAGCTGGATACTCGTCTAGTCTAAGGGGCGGCTACCGCCCTGGAGAAGCGACGATCCAAACCCTGGGCAGGGTCGAAATATCGTTGGGTTGGTGGTACCTGGATGGCGATCGCAAGAGTGGTTGATGTTAGGTTGCAGGGGCGTGAACCCGGCCGGCCACTGTTATCGAGAGGAACTTGTCAAGGGGGGCCTGGGGAGATTCCGCGTTGGGGCATGAATGCAGGCTGTGCCGCTGTTGTTGTTACCCCTAGCGTGGGGCCTTTAATACTCCGGCAAACCAGCACTGACCGATGGCTTCGACTGTTTCGTTTCACCACTGCCTAGGGTGGGATTGTTGACAATCCTGTTTGCTAATTGCGGCACCTCGTGGGAATGTGGTAAATATAACGAGAATTTGCAGATGCCGTCCTAGGGGGAGAGGGACTGAAGCAGTCAACGTGGTGAACCTAGGGAGTAGCAGAGGACCACGTACCTACTCAAAAGGGGGGAAGCAGGCAGCGCACAGGCTTTAAAGCAACGCACGATAGGCGTACTATGGACATATTATGTAGTAGTGTACACAACGGCTAGGGTCGCACAGGACTTGATGTGCTTGCTGGAGGCGCCCGATGGAACGTGTTTGCACGTCGTAACCGAAAGGTGTTGCAACCTCAAGCAGGTCAAAAAGAAGGGAAGAGAGCTGGGTGTTGCTCCCAAATCGGTTGTGATTCCCTTATGAGGAATTGCTGCGTCGTCAGAGATGGACAGGAGAGGCAACGAAGCACAACACCCACGGCACACAGTCCAGATTGAAGGAAGTGAACGCCATCTCTGGCCGCCAAGCAAACAACCCCCCTCCGTCGGTGTCAGCCTGCTTGCATTCCGTTGCTGGAATATGCGCCACGGAATCGGTCTAGGACTCTTCGTCCCCTCCTATGATATATCGATATTGCGTTTTTGCCTCAAACGCGCTTACTGTCCAAAGGCGACTGGGCAGATTAGACAAAGAGATGAGCTCCTGACTTCCAATGATTGGCAACTGATGCTGGTTTGCTTCGTGCCCACGTCCTTGTAAGTGCTAACCTCCTAACTAATATCTGGAGTGGGGATTTCATTGCACGTTGTTCTGCAGCCTATGAACGCCTCGGTTGCCCCCCCTGAGTAGACAAAGGGAAGAACATCCATGTGTATGGAAGTGTCACGATCCATTCTATTCATCGGCATTCAGCTTTGGGAAAAATAGAAATGCAGGGCCTACATACACCCTGTTACTAAAGGCCATCCGGCCTATTTGAGCACATGGAATCACCACCATCAATGTCCTGAGAAAGCCCGATTCTATTAGATACAAGAAAACGATGGAATCCTCCGCCAGCCAAATACACTGTACAGTTACACACACCGTTGGTTCTGTTCCTACCCTAATGTACCCTGCTCAGAACCCGACGTCGAGGACTGGAAACTCGCTCCGCTATGGCTTTACAAGAGCTTGACTTCACCGGGGACCACGAAGGTTGAAAGGAGGACCGGGAGGATACTACGTCCCCACGTCTCGGCCCTTCTCCCGTCAACCCTTATACCTGCTCAACCCGATGATGATAGGATTCTTCTATCGCACCCTCGTCTTGCTATGCTCTGCGAGCTCCAGTACTTCCGGGGACCAGGGGGAATAGCTCGGACGAACAAATCAGATTTCCGCCCAACGTAGCCCGTGTATTTTTTTTGGGGAAACATAAACGCTGACAACCAATGACTGAACGATTCTGAAAGAAGATCAAGGCAACAGAGCTCGCGTTACCTGGTGCCGTTGAGTTGTAGACCCTGAATACTGTCGAGGGGGCTACCCGGCCCCGTACGCTGCTTCAGGGTAAGCGGGAAAGGATACTCTTCGGGGTCCTCTTCCTCACTAGAATCAGAAAAGTCAGTATCATTTTTCAACATGTTGAGAGGACATCACCATCACTTACGGTAACTTCCATGCAACGTAGTCCTCGGTACTCAGGCCCTCGTGACTCTCCTGAAGACTAGCAAAATCGCCAGGGGTCATCATACCAGTCCGGTCTCTGGGCGAGCCCGGTACTGAGAAGGGACGAGATATCTTTTGCTCGACTCCTGGGATGAAGTCTTCCTCCTCCTCGCCATTGAAAGATGTAGGATAGGCGCGGCGCAACGCAAGTTGGCGTGCCTTGACGTACTCCATACCCATTCGCTTCCAGTCCAAGAGATCGCTCAAACGCTCGGTTCTGTTTCTCTGGTTGATGCGCTGTCTGCGGCTCTTCTGGGTAAATTCAAACATGTACTGAGTAAGCTGGTTGACCGAGTCATCGACTCCCTTGGAGCGACGATCCACGATATAGATACCGTAGTCGCTCGAGTTCTCAATGAGTTCCTCCATGTAGCAGCCGAATCCAGAGAGGTTGGTAGTGATGCTTGGTACACCCATCACAGTGCATTCTGCCGGAGTGTAGCCCCAAGGCTCGTAGTAAGAAGCGAAGACGCCCAGATGGGTGCCGCGCACAAAGTCATCGTAATCGAGAGGCAACACGGGGTTGGCCGAGCTCAAGAACTCGGGATGGAAAACAATCTTGACTCGGTCTGAGGGATGGTTGAAGAGCTGTACCCGGCGGATCTGGTTCAAAATTGGGTCCTCGTGGTCGTTGAGCATGTTGTGGGTAACAATGGGTGGGAGCGTGTGCCTCTTCATGGCAAAGAGACGACGACGAAGGAGAACACGGTCCTGACTGGTAATCAGCTCCTTCTCCTCAGGCAACGGGTCGCCCTCGTGCCACTTGACAGAGCGCTCAAAGATGCGACGGCCAATTCCACGCTCAATGACATCAACGGTATCTCTCAGAGACTTGATGACAGCCTGTCCCTTCAATGCTTCAACGGTCAAGGAAGTGGTCTGGGCAGGCATGATGATGAAAGCCACAACTGTCGTCTTGCTTCCGGCGGTCTTGAGGCGGTGGTTGAGACGGGCAAGCGACTCGATAAACATGTCCACACCCTTATTCCTGAACTCGTAGCGACCCGCAGTAAAGAAGTAGAGCGTGTTTTCTGGCTCAAAATCGTAATGGCCGTAGAAGTGACCGCGGACAAAGTCATGAATCTTCTCCTTGTTTTGCTGGTGGAGGTTCTGGAACTCGTGCATGGCCGAGAACTTGGTGACGTTGAGACCATTGGGGAGGACACCATCGGGCTTGCGCTTGAGCAAATGCTCACTCTCGTAAGCTGTGATGTGGGAAACGGTGGTGAAGACATCGCAGGAATGGGCGGCAGCTCGCTCGATGCAGTATCTATGATAGATTCCGCGCTTTCCAGCCTCGGCGTCAACGTCAAACCACTGAAGGTTGTTGTAGAAGTCTACTGAGCCGGCGCACAAATAGCGACCGAGAAGAGTGGCATGTGTCGTGAAGATGGTGGTAACGTCAATCTGCCTCTTCTTGGTCAATGGCAGCGCGACACCGGCAAGCCATTCGTGGAAGTGGGCGATGACGGCCTTTCTCTTCTCATGGCATACAAACTACGAATCTGTTAGCTTCGAGCGCCTCTCTGCTTTGTGACGTAAGTACTGACCTCGCCCAGGAACCATGCGACCAGGTAACCGAAGACAATGGCCTCGTTCGTCTCTTCGTCGTTGTCCGGAGATGGGATGGAAGCAACATTCCAGAGGTCCGTCTTCCACTCGTTCATGTAACCGTAAGCGGTCTTTGTATCGAAGAGCAACACTCTGGGAGCTCCCTCAATGAGCCATCGTCCGTAAAGAATGCCGATGCCACGGTCTCTCATGGCCTGAATCGTCGCCTTTAGTTCGGGGTTGGATGGCTCTAGCTCTTCAACCTCGACGGCCGCCTGGAATCATTCCTGTCAACAACCATGTTTCAAACCACAGTGTAAAGGGCGCAAGAGCAGCGTACCGATTGGTGGTTCAGGGGACCGATAAGAGTGTAACGGTCGCCATATTCAGCGGTTGTAACGGGAGCTTTCGACTTGAGAACGGAGTAGATTCCACCAACTAGAACAATTGTTAGATTGGAAGCCCCTTCCTGGCGCAATTGATACTTTTGCGCATACCTCGATGAGCGACCTCGGTCGCCACCTCAAAGAGGAGGTGGTTTTTGACCTCGCGGGGTTCACGGTTGTCGTGGGCCATTGTGGCTCAATATAAATGGGTGACGGGCGCGCCGAAGTCAAGATGCTTCTGTCGTCCGAGCTTCGTGTTAGTAACCAGAAGCTGCCACAGAACACTGATTTTTCAGGTTCGTAGAGAGGAAGAGAGGACGAGTAGACGTAGCAAGAAGAGGGACCAGCAGACGGTTGGGTTCTATTTGAAGCAGATCAGGTCGACGTAGCCAGGACGAGACAACACGCACTGGTGGGGTAGAGCTTCTAGGAATGTCACCCGGGAATGGGGTCTGGGTGGGAAGCTTCAGGGGTGCAGCTGGGGATGCGAAGCTTTTAAAAGCCCGGCCGGAAGCGGGGAATGGGGCCTCACTGAAGCTACTGGAACCTCAACCTGAACCGAGTTTCCAACCTCTTCCCGGCGCACGGCTTCGAACTCTGAGCTAGGTTCGCTTGGGAGTCTGGGCTGCGAATACCACCGGCTCGACGGCTCGACACAGGTGCTGCGGTGTCGCAGGAAGAGAAAAAGTGTGTCTCACAAACCGGAACGTACCTCGAAGAGTTCCACCTCTAGGGCAGGGAGGCACGAACGGAACTGGAAAACAGTGCCTTCGGGCAGCAACAGAGGCAGATCTGGAACTGAATCTCACGATACTAGACCCAACCAGAGGAGTCAGAATTTGAGTAACGCGAGGTCCTCGTGGCCAAGGGGAGGCGCGTGTAAGTGGGCGCGAGATGAAGTCTGCTGCGGACGGGAAGGGCACGGTAGGACAGACAAAAGACTACCTACGCTACGTTGACAGTCTGAAGTGAAGCTGGAACTGGATGACCGAAGGAAGTCTGAAAGCGGGAGCGAGAGGGAAAGTCGGTAATAGTAGGTAGATAGTGCCGCCGATTTCTTTGGATAGGATAGGTAATTGGGCAGTAACGCTATAGAAGAGGGGAGAAGTTTGAGGTTTGTTTATACATACTCGGCTACTCTTGAACTGGGGGGCAACACTGCTATACAGATAGCTACCTCCTACGTACAGATCATGATATTGCAAACCTAACTCAAAGGGATCCAATGCTATGCATTCGAGGTTGCCGCCGCCAAAAGGTTCCCCTTCTTTCTGGGTTGCTCGATCTCGATGGCAACTTTTGGAGGTCCGTCACAGCTGTCCAGTACGTGCACAGTACATACTGGGCACTAAGGAATCCGCCCGTCCCAACATCGATGCACCATCACCGTCAAATACGCCCAGTACCTCTACGTAACGAGCGTCAATGGTGCGTAGCGTGTAGACTGCCCGCGTTAACGCAGGTCAACAGGCATGGCGTCAAGCTTGCGAACCACCGAGTTGCCATTCAGACGCATGACGGTACCTCACCTCAACGCCCCAACTTTGACAGGTATTTCTGTTCATTTTTTCTTCTTCGCAATCCGACTCTTGAGACATCCATCGGCATTTCAGAGCCTCCATGTATCTGAACATGAAGCTCCGCGCGCTTTGTCTTCCCACGAGCCTTACCCCAAAGGATTCAAGGGCGATCCCGAATTCCACTTGCATTACTCTACCTTGGGTACGATAGTATACTATTATCTGCGGAGGGTCCTCCAGATCTGTGCGTATCCCCGCTCCAGCAAAGTCAAATCACCTTTTGTCTGACCTTTCCCAATCAGATTGCCCAATTACAATACCATACATACCGGGTGTAACAACAACGCCCACCGTTCAATTTCTTTGGGTTGTCTGGTCCTGATCATCGCATGTTGCCCTCTCGACTAACTGCATTTCACCCAACCAACAGCAACGAATACTCCCATGCGGCCCCGATCTCACAGCCAAGCTGGCCCAAAGACGGCTATTGAAAAAAGTCAGACAAGAAGCGAAGAAATAGTACCTCTAGCGAGGCCGGAAAAGAACAAGACAAGCACAAGTTGGAGTTGGGCTGTTGGGTCCCCACTGCCCGGCATTGGTTCCAGAGCAACATTCATTCCTATAGTCTCCTCCAAAGTCCCTTGATCCCTTGCAACTGCAACCTATCGGCGCGGGGATTCCTGCACTTCACCCCTCATATTCTGCAACGGAACTCCATTCACTTAAACCGATATCAGCCACAAATTCCCCACCAGCGCCGATGGGTGTTGACCCAAACAGTTAGATTTCTACCCAATTCTTTGATGGGATTTTTTCCAGCAACTTTCACACCCTCAAAGCTGTTTTCTCTCTAGAAACGTCCAGCGTCATTTACAGCAAAAGCTCAGCATGACGCCGCTATAGGTACTTGCCTCGGCTGAGAAAACAGTGGCTGGTCAGCAAGAAGAACAGCCCCAACCATCCAGCGATCCCCGCTCTTTTGCGTCATTCCCAACTGAATTTGGATCCACAACAACGCGCACTGGGCCGTGCGGGTCCCGTAGGTCTTTCCAAATTTGGAGAGGAGCTCCCCTCCTTCCGTTGTCTCCCCCGCCTGTTGTGGGGCTTGCTGGCTCAAGTTAGTCAGCATGACGACATGCCATTGGCGGGGGTATCATCTTCTTGGGACGACTTCTGGGGGATGCTGCACAACTGAACTCCAAGAGGAAACCTCATTGACGAAGTTACTGTGTAGGGATATACGAGAGTTTTCGAGGAATCAATCTAGCTACTACCTACCTCTATTATGGCTGTTTTCCCGGTCTTCAACTCTCAGCAGCTACAAACAACAATGGGCATCTACCTTCCCCTTGCGCGGCTGCGGACTTCGCGCCCAATAACATGGACAGACTGCGAATCCCCAACAGATGCGGTATCGCATATGTACATAGAAGGGAAGTCTGTTCCATCCACGCGGTAAGCCTGAATGGGCCTCTTTTGCCTCCAATGCTACTCCAACAAAAGTCTCTTTACATGCACAACATTTTGGTGTTGTACCTTCGTCATCCCCAGACCTCAAAGCCCATTACGGCCATTTCTTTCACCCTGGCCTTTCCTGCATCCCATTACTTGCAGTGACATCGAGGATGGTATCGGAATCCCAAAAGACGGGCTACCCTACCTACTAGTTAGGTAGAAACGCAGCATGTACCTACATTGACACGCGACAACGACATGGACGGGAGGTTTGGTGTTGTGCACAGTCAGGTTTCGTGCATTGACAATTCCAACCTCCCCTCACCCGTTGATGCCTCATTGGCATGCAAGACTTTTTTTCAGCCATAGCCAACCGTCCGCGTACGTGGGTACCCGATGTGGATCATTCAACGTCGCCGTGCCGTGTCCGCATCTTCGGGAGAAGCAGATGAGATGAGAATTGTGATCAATGGGTGGTAGTAAGGTGAATAGGGGAAAATTCTTTACATTGTGCTACATACCTACGCTGTAGTCTAGTTGCGGTTTCGGCTGACGGCTGATACCGACACGGGCCAAGTGGCTCATGTGGTTGCAGTGGAAAATGCTGGAAGTTTGGAACTTTTCACACCTACAGAACTATATAGGAGCTGAACTAAATTCATCACTGGCAAAAATCGTCAGCGACAGTATGGATTGCCGTGTGTTTCACTCCACTCGCGGACAACTCAACCAACTGCATTGTGATATACCTATGTGTAGCCGGGCGGTATCCAAAAAAAGCCGACTGTATACATATGAAGTCAATGCTTGTTGATATGTGGAATGGTAGCAAGCATCGGCAAGGCGCTTACACTCGTCTGAATATCATTACATGGACAAAGCGATGGTAGGTTGATGATAAACAGCCTAACATTACGATACCACCACCACCACTACTATCAATCATCATCTCTCAATGTCAAAGTGGTCCGTGCAATTATCCAGTCACAAGGATATTAAACAAGAATGATGAACCTGCAATAATCTCTGCCCTATTTGGGGTTAGAGGTTTAATCAAATTAACCACAATGAGTTCTAGCAGGATAATCAAGACAGTATTTCACCACCTTGAATGACATGATCACTCAAAGAAAACATCAGGCAGTTTAATGATATCTAAAGGCGTACCAACAATAGTTTGCAAACTCCAGACTAAACTGTTTTTATACACAGCCTTGTCAAGTACAAGGTTGGATTACATTACTCGATTCTCAATCAAGCGTAAACTGTAGACCACACAAACACCCTAACATGATCTTCCCCTGGTATATTTCTGGCCACGGGAGGAACTACGAACAAGAACAGGAGAGCTAAGCCAGGTCAGCTACGGGAGAGTCTTGGACAAGACGGACACCTTGAACGGAACAATCTCAACACACCCGATGGAAACTTTCGAGAATCAACTTCAAACGTGGCCCTGTAAAACCCCCGACGATATGATGAAAATCCTGAACTACCATCGCTCAACCCAGGTTCACCACACCCCAAACTTGCATAACAACCTGATTCCAGCTCAGGTTATCAACGGTATGGTATGTTTACGTTTGATGTATTCTGCAGGATCAAGTCCAGTTTTTTTTGGCACCAAGCGTCTCTTCTTTTATATAAACATATGGAACGTGAATGTCAGGGATTGGATCAATAGGTGTCACGATAAAATCTCAGTTGCACAGAGGTTCGGCTGGCTGATGTCGCAAGAGGATCGATTCCAGCTAAGAGTTCCCAGTGCAGCTGTCAGCGATAGCTTGAAAACGCACGCACGAGCCACCATAATTATTTTAGGCATGTAACGGCATTCAGCTGCCGTCGCGGCGAGCGTGGTCACGGGATTGGCTGTCACAGCTGCCCAGGCTCATACTGTCGGTCTTCAGACTCGAGCATCCGCCAACATCCCCCTACCTGGAGCCATAGCAGCCAACCTGATTTGATCACTGCATCGACACCACTCAGTGCCCGTCGCTCCTCTACCTCTAATCTTCACGACCTACTCTACCATCACAGCTTGACGGACCATTTTCTGAGCGGGCCTACAGCTTTATTTTCCATTCCGAGTCGCTCCCACGATGTGACGACAGTGCGCGACGGGTCACCATTTGCGGGGCTTTCGAACCCAGCGGTCAGCACCTGGGCACAGCATCACAGACGCTCCAAAAAGCTGAACCAATGCCCCCCCGCGTCGGCTACGGAAGCAGTCACCACCATAGGCGCTCGAAGCTTGCTTTAGAGACAGACATGCCATCTGTTTTCCCTCGCGGAAAGATCGTGGGCGTAACTGAAAGAAAAATGATGGTCGCCATTCGAGGTCGCACAAATCCCGTCGCCGCCGTCTCCTATTCTTTGATTGTTGCCGGCGCTGCCTGTTTTCCGGATCTCATTTTGGCCGAGGCGATACCCAAGCTTTGACACCACCTGCCGGTAGCACTGGTGATCACAGAGGATAGATGGATAATGTGATGCTTCTAGCAGTATCCACATCGTACGAGACTCGATACCAGGACGAGCAGGACCTAAGAATCACGGCAAGAAGAGCAACAAGTATTCACAGCCCCATTGTTTCAGCAACTCCTTTCCTCTCTCTCTGTCGACGCCGCAGCTCCGAGAAGAGCATGTTATGTGCTCCAGCAGGATGTGCTCGTTCATCAGGCCGGCACCGGCCAAACCTAAGAGGACTGCTCCTTAACTACTGCGCTTACCCGAGAGTGTAGTGGAAAGACAACAGGCCTGCTATTGTATTCGCCAAGATGCCGCTCCTTCAGGCATCCAACGATAACTGATGTGCTACGATAAACTATCAGGGCATGGCAAAAGGGCAATCATGGGAGTCTTGAAGGCGGTGTATGTCTGCAACAGCCACGATGTCGAGCATCTAGGAAACTTACCCTCCCGGTAGCTTGGTGTTATGTGGCTCGCATATTCCTCAAGTGGAATTGTCAAGGCTCGAAGAGGACCGACCACGAGCGAAAAGAGGTACTGACAATCAGACAGACATGCACACTGGCAGCATCATGGCGGGAGCTAATGTTCAATGCCTCGAATCGCATGGGGAGAGAGGCCTGTGCTTGGTTGCTGGACATGGGCATTCACGGACAGCTATGAAGATGCACTCGTAAAGCGTGTCTTAACGTATATAGAGAGGATGTCCTGGTGATATAGAGTCCTGCATAGTCAGAGCATGCCTCTGCTCTTCGACGCAGATATGGGCTGGGAGGTATTGGTATGGCTACAGGAGCGGCAACCAGCGGGTATGTGACGCCCGCCCTGTACCCTGGCTTATAAGGAAGGGTATAGCGTTCGCGAATTCAATTAAGGATGTCGGCTTCGTGGCTTCGTCTACCCGGGGGTATATCCGGATGCGCGCAAGCAAGTGCAGTGTCGCGTCAACTCCAGGATCTGGGCGTTTGACCGTTAGATGAACGTTCTACGGATGATGAACCCCAACGAGGCAGGCGTTCTCGTCGCCTTAAGAGGGGTCATCCGATTGCAAAGGCATCCATCGCCCGGCGTCGGTGCATTTACCTCATCTCTGGCCACATTATATTTGCACCAGCGGTACGTATTCGGCTTCTTCACGCAACGTCGCCGTCTCTCAAGGTATTCAGCCTCATCGTCACATCAGCCTTTCCTTGTCCTCTGAAGGGTGCTATGGATTGTTTTGAATAAGGCTGTTATCGCCAGAGCGGGAGGAGATCTGGTCTTTTGCTGTCCACTGCTAAGTAGCGTTTCCCTTACTACTAACTGCACAGGAACAGTCTGGTATTATCTCCACCGCATCGCTTCTCCATATCCCACCCTCTGCGAACATACATTGCTGCTTGCCAACCACAGTTTGCAGCCGACCATACATGGCACAGGCGCAGAGGCATAACACTGTTTCAACACATTCGCGGAGCAAGGCTGGAGGTGAAGGTCTCGGTCTTGAACTTTTACGGACACGCGTTGGTGCAGTTGACGAAGCTTTTACATTGCCTGCCCGGTTTGCTGAGGTCATCAAGTCCATTCGTGGAAAGTAGCGGCCTCACGCCGAACAGGGTGAGCAACTGCGCCCGCCGTGTGTGGAAAGACGGCCCGGATCAATTTGGGATTGCAAAACAGCCCCAGAGTCAGGAGGTGGATGGATGGCGATTCATAAGGTCGTCGGTTCGTTAACGAGAGGTATCTTCTACCTGTCAAAAGGTATTCCTGTCGCGTTCGAGTCGACAGTGCCTTTGGCCAGGCGGCTGCAGGCCTGAGAAGAACGCTGTGCACGCGTTTTTAGCGGGTCGGGTAATCCCTGTCGGTCGGCCAAGATACCGCCCTGGCCACTATTCTAAAAGTCAGATATCGACGAATCTGGTGGGTGTTGCCAGCCGTGCATGGGGTCCTCACCTCCAGTGGCTGGACCACTTTTGGAATCTCGGACTCGACATGATGCTGCAATGCCAAATGGCAGCCGCATCTCCAAAAACCAACCACGCAGCCTCACAGACGAGCATGCTCTAGGCATGAATACTTCACGTCCGACTACTTCGCCTGCCGCTGCTGTCGTGAACCGGTCCTCTGATCCTGATCCTGTTCCTGACCCAGCAGCTCGACACAAGCCGAATCCAGATCGCCCCAGTGCCAGCGACGGCCCCAGCAAATCCGGCAAACCTCGCGGCCGCTCGATCGAACCGCCCTCTTCCTCCTCTCAGCCCGCTCCTCGCCATCGCCATCCGTCGAGACATCGCAGCCCGGACCGCTCTGGCCGCTCATCGCGTTTCCCCCATCGCTCCAGAGGCTCACCACGCAGCCGTAGAGATCGCTCCCGCGAGCCTCGTGGTCGCGACGGCCACTTTTCCCCGGACCGACGCCATCGAAGTCCTGTCCTTCCGAGAGGCCGAGGGGACGCCGCCCACGAACGTGGCCAAAACGTCGATCACGGGAAACACCACTCACAACTTCCTCCACACCCGGCCCGTGCCTCTCAACGTGGTTCTTCAAGGTCGCCAGGCTCGAGCAAGCGCAGGCGTAGCCGAACCCCATCGCCAGGTGGACCGGACTCCAAAAAGTCACGACGTGGCCGAAGCCCTCGACGAGGAGAAAAAGACGACGTAAATTCCCTGCAGCTGCCAAGGGACCGCCGCAGGTCACCAGTGGACAGGAGGCCATCCCGTTCCCCAAGCCATCACGAGCGGCGACGCTCTAGAGACAGGAAACGGTCAGGTCGATCTCGTTCGCCAGATCGCTCTCGAAGGCGGAAATCACGCTCACCAGACCGGGGAGTTTTTGACCGAGCCTCGGGACGTGTACGCCGAAGGAGTCCATCTCCACGGCATCGTGGTCGCTCAGACCGGCCAGATCGTCCTGAACGTCGCCATCAGTCAAAGTCACGTTCTCGGACCCCTCCCCATCGCGAAAACAGACACCCCGCTTCCGACGCAGGTTCGCGCAGACGGCCAAGTCCCGATCCGGACTCACGTAAGCCTTACGACCATCCTCAAGGCTCTCCACGGGACCGGCGACGCTCCAAATCTAGCAAAAAGGGCAAAGTCCGTGACGATCAAAAGTTTGATCCCGCATCTGGCGTAAACAGTATCGAGGTGAACATGGCTGCAAGGAACGGCTACCGAGGGGGTTATGGCGCCCCGATGCCCCCTGGGTACACAGAGACACATGATGGCCGAAACTATTCACACTCTTCAGGACATGCAACGCCCAATTCATCCTTCCATGGCTCACCTCCCGCCCAATCTCCTTATGGTGCCGGACGAGGGTGGAACAATCCGCAATTTTCACCACAAAGGTATGTCCTCCCAGAGCAATGCAATCATTCTCTTGACTGACATCGGAGTAGTCAATATGGATATCCGCATGGCAATTACGGCCCCCCTACTGGGCCGCAAGCACACTACCACTCGAATCAAGGGCATTCGCCACCGTATCCTCCAACCGGCCCAGCGGCCCAATACCCAACAGGCCCGTTCCGTGGTGGACATCGGGCTGCATCTGGTGGATTCCGCGGTGGCTCATTCGGTGTCGCTCGCGGAGGCCATCGAGGCGGCTCTAAAAATGCCCAATGGAGTCCCAACGCACACAATGCCAGAGGCCAGTACATAACACCAACAACAACAATAACAACAACAACTGAAAACAATCCCGCCCATGCCCAAAATAACGCGGCCCCAAGCAAGTACGCTGATTCTGGCCAAAACACTCAGGAGGGGACAAGGGAGGATGTTAACAGCTCTTCCAGACCCGACAAAGACTCGCAAGGCGATGATACCAACAATTCAGGCAAAGAGAAAGAGGAGCAAATGCAGCCCCCTACCCGCCCAGCCGCTGCTTCACAATCTCAGCCCTCTAACAAATTTAGCTTCAGTATGAAAAACGCTACAAAACCAGTAGTAGCGGCTCCAAGGCCTGAGATATCTCTCAAATTCAATGCCGTCGTTCCGCCACGGGAACCCTCGCAAAAGCAACCACCCAAAGCGCCCGCTGCTGCTCCGCCGACGGCGCCATCTGCCCATAGATCCAATCGGGACCGTCATGACCTCCCCAAGAATGTGCCTACGGAACCGGCATCTGCTAGGGCTCGTCACAATGATCGCAGAGGGCCGGACCCGCACAGGCCGGTAGACAGCCACAGGCCGGTAGATAGTCACAGGCCGGTGGATAGCCACAGACCGGCGGAACAGCAGAAGCCGAGGACCCGAATTGTGAAGAAGATTGTCAAAAAGCTCAAGGAGAAGCCGGCTCTTCCGCCGGACTTGGCAAAGTCAAAGTCTGTTTACCACAGAAAGCCGGGTAACGAATCTGTCATCGGTTCCGGTACGTATGGAAAGGTGTTCAAAGCCCTCAATGTTTACACAAAAAAACAAGTGGCCCTCAAGAGGATACGAATGGAAGGAGAAAGAGATGGCTTCCCTGTGACAGCGGTACGAGAGATCAAGCTGCTCCGGTCTCTAAGCCATAGGAATATCGTCAAGCTCATGGAAGTGATGGTTGAGATGAACGAGTGCTTCATGGTATTCGAGTACCTATCACACGATCTTACAGGGCTCATCAACCATCCTAACTATACTCTGGACCCGGCCCAGAAGAAGCATTTGGCTCTGCAGTTGTTCGAGGGTTTGGACTATCTTCATACTAGGGGCGTCCTGCATCGAGACATCAAAGCAGCCAATATCCTGGTCAGCAACGAGGGAGTCCTCAAACTTGCTGATTTTGGCCTGGCTCGGTTCTATGCCAAACATCACCAACTCGACTATACGAACCGTGTGATCACCATTTGGTACAGATCACCGGAACTACTTCTCGGAGAGACACAGTACGGTCCCGCCGTGGATATCTGGAGCGCTGCTTGCGTGATGATGGAAATATTTACCAAGCGTGCCATCTTTCCTGGCGATGGTAGCGAGATCAACCAGCTGGACAAGATCCATTCTGTTTTGGGCACACCGACCAGAAACGACTGGCCAAACATCATCGAAATGCCTTGGTTCGAACTGCTACGGCCAACTCAGCGGCGAGCAAATGTATTTGCAGAGAAGTATAAGGAGCTAGTGACACCTGCCGCGTTTGAGCTGCTCCTCTGGATGTTCAAGTACGACCCTGATAAACGGCCCAGCGCTGCCCAAGTATTGGCGCATCCTTACTTCACCACCGAAGAGCCAGCTCCGCGACAAGCAGTCGAGTACGTCCCTTTGATGTCAACAATGCGTCCCTTCTGAATCTTGTCGATACTAATATTTGACTTCTTAGACTCAAGGATATTGATGGCGAATGGCACGAATTCGAATCCAAGGCTCTTCGGAAAGAGAACGAGAGGAAGGAGAGAGAAGCACGACGGGCTGTCAAAGATGGGGCACCAGCAGCAGCCGCTGCACCAAGTGGTGGCGGTGGTAGCTCTTCGACTCGAGAAAAGGATCGTGACCCTAGAAAACGCCCTGCCGAGAGTCGAGAACCACCACCATCAGAGCGCGATTCCAAACGTCCGCACTTGGACCCACATGCTGCCAACAAACCATCAACAACATTATCATCCTCAGCGCCGCCGCCGCCGCAGCAGCAGCAGCAGCAGCGAGAGCCCGAACGGTCATCAGTACCCACCAGGCCCAGGGAACAACACCAACAAGAACAACAACAACAACAACAACAGGAACAGCAGCAATGTCGGCCATCAGCATCATCTTCATCACACTTACCACCGGCGCAGGCACAGGCACGGGCACGGGCACCCACAAATGCCCCATCTGGGCCGGCAGCAAGTCAAAGTCATAACTAGGAGAACATGGCGTATTATGAGAAGATTATGTGGCAGAATCGTTACCCTGGCCTGATTTTCAATCATGCTTCGCCTGCAGTGCAAAGCTGGTTTTTGCAAAACATTCTGCATCAAAATCGAAACCAATCTACGATGACGGTCATGACGGGACCAGTGCGAGATCGTAAAGCTAGATATCGAGGCTGTTGGTCGTCGAGTCAAGGCAGCAGGCATAGATAGGGGTGAGTAGATTGTCAGCAGGAAGTTAGTTGCAAACTATTCTATCTTATGATATCGCATATGGTATATAAATGGGGACAGATCGTACCGGTCTTGGCCCGACACGTCTTGAATTATCATTGGTATAAACGCAACGGGCAACGAGCTGGGGGGACAAACATGGACATGGTATAGAGAAATTTGGTAAACCACGGGATATTTGCGCAAGGAGGACATAGGGGGGAGGAAGCTAGGACATGGGAGAGTATCCAACGGGGTGTGATGGGATGGGGGAAAAAAAAAAATGAAGGTTTGACTTAAAGCAGTTTCGTGTGAAATGGTAGAAGACATCGCTAGGGCCAGAGGGAAAGGTAGACAACACTGAACTCCTTGAATGCGAAGAGGACAGAAGAAGCATGATGCATCAACGATATGATGATGCCTTGTGAGGAAGATGTACAGTTTACAATCTACCCATCCAAATCAGTAGAACATCCGTCCCCCCCCCCCCCCCCCCCTTTTCTTTCTTCTCCCCCCTTTCTTTTTCTCTCCCTCCTTTCGACTCAAGCCTACCCGCCCACGCCACCTAAGCATATCAAACTTTTCCCGGTTACGATGTAAATGTTTCAACCGGATAATACTGTAAAACCCATTTTATTTTACCCTTTTTCTTCTCGCACACACCAAACCAACTCCAGGCACCCCTTCAAAGAAGAGAGAAACAACTTAACACAA